TCCCACTAAATACGCATTTCGAATTCACTTTAGTTAGGACCATGGGATCCAAAAGTTAACGAACAATGTTTCACACAACACAGAATAAAGGCAAATACAAAATTTCCAGATTTTTTTCCCGATTTCCCCCCTTTTCCGATTAAAGAACCGTAATTCGTCCATTAATATCACATGACATATCACATGATCTCTCATTTCCCTCACACAAAATAATGCGTAATCGGAACTGAGTACTGCTCACATTATTACCAAAGTCCCAGGTAGTAACCTTTATCAAAAATGTCGCCAAACTACCAGTTACCATTGTTAGGCAAAAAAGTTGATCTTTGGATTATGGTAACTTGGCGATTTTTTGGCGAAAATTTGGCGACCAACTCTGCTACAGCAACCCTCTATTTTTTTTTTTTCGCCGCCATTTTGTCTTCACGAAGTAAAGACATGTTTCTTTTTATTTACTGAACACTTTTTCCAACAATCTACTAGCCGAATTACACTTATGCTAGAAATTTTATGTAACAAAACTGCTTAATCATGACAAATATTAACTGCAAAATTGGGAAAAAGTGCACAATCGCAAACTCCTTGCGCGTTTTTCAGAATAGCACATACACATAAACCATTTACACGTCGACTTATTTTTACTTAAAAAAACATCCCAGAATTGCACAAAAATGGCATTGCACACACTCTTAACTTTATCCATCTACACTGCTATTTTCTCATAAATTACAAAAATTTGCACGAAAATGCAAAAAAATTCTGTGAATCTTTAAATTCGGTAAAAAGCACATATATGAAATTACCTGATCGCGAAAAAGTATATACCCTTTCCAAGGATGAACATTTCCACGTATAAAATAAATAAAATATCCAAAAACTTTTACCTCTAAATTATCTATTATATTATAAACGTCACCAACGAATTCATACCGCAAACATTACAAATGGTTACAAATACTTAGTGTCAAATATTTAAATTATTTCCATGCACGTTTACTTCAACTGAAACGTATACCAAATTCCTACAAACATAAAATTCACAAAATAACTATCATTTAATTAAAATATCACTAAACCATGTACACGTCGACTTATTTTTACTTAAAAAAAATCCCAGAATTGCACAAAAATGGCATTGCGCACACTCTTCACTATATCCATGTACACTGCTTTTTTCTCATAAATTAGAAAAATTTCACGAAAAAATGCATGAACAATTTTCTGAATCTTTAAACCCGGTAAAAAGAACATATATGAAATTACCTGATCGCGAAAAAGTATATACCCTTTCCAAATATGAACATTTCCACGTATAAAATAAATAAAATATCCAAAAACTTTTACCTCTATATTATATTATATATTACAAACGTCACTAATAGTTCATACCTTTACTTCATTACAAATGGTTACAAATACTTAGTGTCAAATATTTAAATTATTTCCATGCATGTTTACGCAAATTACTTTACTTCCACCTTACATTTAGAACAATGCATAAAAATAATATCCTCAAATAATTAAAAATGCTAACTTACCTATTCTTCTTCAGAATCTTGATTACGTGTCCGATAAACTTTTCTTATTTCTGTTTCAGGATCTTTAAAATCATACTTATAGTTCACGCCAAGGTACCAGGTAAAATAAATAACTTAATAAAACATCTTTACTTCTATCTCGCACAACCTTAAAGAAACACTTATTACCCCTTTCAATCCCACTAAATACGCATTTCGAATTCACTTTAGTTAGGACCATGGGATCCAAAAGTTAACGAACAATGTTTCACACAACACAGAATAAAGGCAAATACAAAAATTTCCAGATTTTTTCCCGATTTTCCCCCTTTTCCGATTAAAGAACCGTAATTCGTCCATTAATATCACATGACATATCACATGATCTCTCATTTCCCTCACACAAAATAATGCGTAATCGGAACTGAGTACTGCTCACATTATTACCAAAGTCCCAGGTAGTAACCTTTATCACCTCCAAAATGTCGCCAAACTACCAGTTACCATATTGTAAAGATCAGGCAAAAAAAGTTGATCTTGGATTATGGTAACTTGGCGATTTTTTGGCGAAAATTTGGCGACCAACTCTGCTACAGCAACCCTCTATTTTTTTTTTTTTTTTTGCCGCCATTTTGTCTTCACGAAGTAAAGACATGTTTCTTTTCTTTTTATTTACTGAACACTTTTTCCAACAATCTACTAGCCGAATTACACTTATGCTAGAAATTTTATGTAACAAAACTGCTTAATCATGACAAATATTAACTGCAAAATTGGGAAAAAGTGCACAATCGCAAACTCCTTGCGCGTTTTTCAGAATAGCACATACACATAAACCATTTACACGTCGACTTATTTTTACTTAAAAAAACATCCCAGAATTGCACAAAAATGGCATTGCACACACTCTTAACTTTATCCATCTACACTGCTATTTTCTCATAAATTACAAAAATTTGCACGAAAATGCAAAAAAATTTTGTGAATCTTTAAACTCGGTAAAAAGCACATATATGAAATTACCTGATCGCGAAAAAGTATATACCCTTTCCAAGGATGAACATTTCCACGTATAAAATAAATAAAATATCCAAAAACTTTTACCTCTAAAATTATTATATATTATAAACGTCACCAACGAATTCATACCGCAAACATTACAAATGGTTACAAATACTTAGTGTCAAATATTTAAATTATTTCCATACACGTTTACTTCAACTGAAACATATACCAAATTCCTACAAACATAAAATTCACAAAATAACTATCATTTAATTAAAATATCACTAAACCATGTACACGTCGACTTATTTTTACTTAAAAAAAATCCCAGAATTGCACAAAAATGGCATTGCGCACACTCTTCACTATATCCATGTACACTGCTTTTTTCTCATAAATTAGAAAAATTTCACGAAAATGCATGAAAATTTTCTGAATCTTTAAACCCGGTAAAAAGAACATATATGAAATTACCTGATCGCGAAAAAGTATATACCCTTTCCAAATATGAACATTTCCACGTATAAAATAAATAAAATATCCAAAAACTTTTACCTCTAAATTATCTATTATATTATAAACGTCACCAACGAATTCATACCGCAAACATTACAAATACTTAGTGTCAAATATTTAAATTATTTCCATGCACGTTTACTTCAACTGAAACGTATACCAAATTCCTACAAACATAAAATTCACAAAATAACTATCATTTAATTAAAATATCACTAAACCATGTACACGTCGACTTATTTTTTACTTAAAAAAACATCCCAGAATTGCACAAAAATGGCATTGCGCACACTCTTCACTATATCCATGTACACTGCTTTTTTCTCATAAATTAGAAAAATTTCACGAAAATGCATGAAAATACTCAACGTATACTACTCAAACGTATTCCAAAATACTACAAACATATAACTCACAAAATCACGATCATTAAATTAAAATATAATTAAATTAAAAAAACACTACTTAAAATATAAATAAGCACATACATTAAATTAATAAAAATTAGATTACAATCCTAATTACTTTAAACTAAATCATTGCTAATAACAATTTTCCAATAATACCATATTAATTTATTTACTCCTTACATTTAGAACAATGCATAAAAATAATATCCTCAAATGATTAAAAATACTAACTTACCTAATCTTCAGAATCTTCATTACGTGGCACGCACACTTCCACTATTTCACACAACACACAATGAAGCTTAATACAAAATAATATAGTACTACAGTTTTCCAAATTCCCCCCCCCTTTTCCGATTAAAGAACTGTAATTCGTCCATTAGTGTCACATGACATATCTTATGATCTCTCATTTTCCCTCACACAAAATAATGCGTAATCGGAACTGAGGACTTCTCACATTATTACCAAAGTCCTAGGTAATAACCTTTATTGCTTCCAAAATGTCGCCAAACTACCAGTTACTATATTCCAAAGATCAGCCAAAAAAATAAGTATATTCACTTAACTCAGCAGTGAAGTCACTGAACAGGGGTAGTTCGGTTGGGGGTTTGAAACTCGGCAAATGGGCTGGCTGCATGGGCATTTTCGTGGTTTTCACCTTGTGTAAGATGTATATGATCCACTTTACCTTAGAAAATCCTTCACAAAGACATTCCCCTTAGGCAGATAGTCCTCGAGTGCTTTAATAAACCAAATTGCTTATATGTATATACATCTAACTAAACAGTTATGTATTATATTTTGACTTTCATTTTTCATCATTAGTAAATTTTCAGTACCCTGTCCTAAAACAAGTTTTTTATTTATTTTTTTTTTTCAGCATGAATTGTTACTATAATGCTTTCAGGTCTAATATGTGACTAATAACATTTTTGGTAACCTCCGTACTGCAAGATAACTAATTTGTTTCTTGCCTCCTTGCTGGGGAGCAGTGTTATTTTCCGTGGTTTGCGGTATTCTGCAGTTCTTCCATGCATGGCCTTCACCACCGCAGTTCTAGCACTTTTCTATCAGTTGCCACTTTTATTTTGGCTCAAGGCATTGTTTTCCCTGGTTAAATCATCTAGATAAGCAATGAGTTCTACATTTTCTTGGACATCAGCAGCTCTGATTGTGTGGTGATCTTTGTGGGTTGTTTCAGTAGCTCTGATTGTATGGTGGTCTTTGTGGTTGTTTCAGTAGCTCTGATTGTGTGGCGATCTTTGTGGGTTGTTTCAGTAGCTCTGATTGTGTGGTGGTCTCTGTGGGTTGCTTGCTCAGCTACCTGAAATTTCATGGTGTGCGCTAAAATGCTTTTTAAATTCTTGACATTTGCCATTTACGGGGCTTTTTATATCTCAGGATCATGGTTGCGATCAATCAAGTACTCCACAGACAGGATTTCCCTTGTTTCTAATGGGTAGTCTGAAAAAGCAAAATGAGACAGCCTTTCAACATCTGTGGCAAACTTTTGAAGTGTTTCTATGGGCTTTTGTTGGCGAGATTTTAACTGAAGCCTGCTATATTCTTTGAAATGCCTCTCTCCAAAGTTCTGCTGCAGTGTGCAAGATAGAGCTTTGAAATATTTCATCTTGTTTTGTGGCACAGTTTAGAGGATATGCACTGCATCTACTCTCAGAGAAGTGATGAGGTGGCAAGCCAGAGCTTGGGAATCTCATCCATTTGCATCTGCCACTATAGAAAATTGACTCGTATACGTTTGCCAGTAGGTCTTTCCATTATACGTGGATAGCTTTAGAGGAGAACGAAATAATATGGTTAGAAATTTATAGAAAGCACAAATTTCCCAAAACTACTGTGAGAAAAAATTATTTTCTTGATTTTAATGTAAAATTTCTCCTGGGATTTTACACCTGGATTTGTGTACTTTTAATATATTGCCTTAATTTTTTAATATGCACGTATATATATGTTCATATTACAGATATCACAAAAAATATTCTAGGCCATATATATATATACAGCCTTGCTGATTAGAGGATTAAAAGCATCAAAATTGTTTCCTGCTGCAATTATGGATTTTTTCAAGCTGTCAACTTCCTTGACGACTGCAACAGAAATTCTGTGATCGATTTGCTGTTCGATAGCAGAAACTCTTTCTTTGATTTGTTGTTTGACAGTAGAAACTTTTTCTCTGATTTGTTGTTTGAGAGCATAAACTCTTTCTTCAGTTTCTCAAACTTTGTTTTGAACCATATTTGTTCTTCCTTCATAGTTTAAAATTTGTTTTCTATTATGGTAGTAATTTCCTTTTTCATTTCCTTTCATCCTCCTTCAATCTTTTCTTGAATGTATGGCACCATCCATCTGTTCTTGACCCAGTTTCATCTCTTTAAAGACCCCCTTCTGTCTTTTCTTGGACCACTTCCATCACTACCTATGGGGTTTTAATGGATTGAATGCACATAGAATTGAAGATAGCACAATAGAATTAATTTTCTCAAAACGTACACTTTACAGTTCTACAACTTTCCACAAAAGTACTCGTACAGCTCTTCTCAGTATAGCAGAGCACATTCAATAGTTACCACTTCAAACTACTAATAGCATTAAACACGGCGTAATGCAAATGCATCCAAAGAACAAAGCTCATGCAGAGATGTTTCAATACTCTGAAGTCAGCTCTGAATTAGAACTGTTGCTTTCTTGGGACTTCTACAGTTTTACCCTGGCCACCAAGAAATTTCTAGTATCTTAGATTTCTTTAAGTTACTGGAAGTTATCTATGTTTAAAGTTACATATATAGGCCAAATACAGTTACATATAGGAATCAATTACAGGAATACAGTTACAATTGTAAAGTGATTGGACAAAATGGCACCAGATGTTCTCCAAGTTTAATGACGTTTGGCAATTTATCACCAGATTTGGTGCCAAAAATTAATCGTCAAAACCGTTCCCATTATGATGATATTTTTGCCAATTTAGTAAGATAGCCATTTGTTTCAATGTTTAAGTAGACTTGCCTCTGTAAGCTTTTTCAATCACTCCATTTTATATTATACAGAAGATACTACAATTTCATGCATAATTTCACTAAACACATATACAGTACAAAGTCTTTAATCCGAACTCGTCGGGACTTCAGCGATTCCGGATTAGGGGTTTTTCCGGGCGTGCAGAAATTATAAAATTAAAAATATGAAACCGTAATTTATGAAATAAAGAGCAGTTATGATCTAATCTATCAAAATTTACAAAAAAAAAAAAAAGCTTAATATTTATTTGTTTACTTTATTAAACGTTTCTTTTAATGTGCGCATGCGTAAAGCATACATTATTGGTACCCCAATGAGGTTGTGCACCATCTTGTTGCAAAAAGATGTGGCTGAAGCTGTTCTAGTTGTGGAATTACGAAGTTTTCCACCATGTCTAAGTATATGACTGATGAGACCGTCTTTTGTGTAAAAAAGAAAGGCCAAATGATTCGGTCTTGCATTAGTCCACACCACACATTAATTTTTGGGGAATCCCTTTGTGCCTCACGGTATTCATGAGGGTTTTCAGATCCCCATATGCGCACATGATAGCGATTAACAATGCCAGAAAGATGCCAAAAACAAAAGAGAGAAAAATGCAATTAATAAGCAGACGATATTTAGAAAAGTACAGCTATTATAGACTGGAACATGAACATTATCTGAAATTAACCACACGCGCAGACAATATTTACAAAAGTAAAGATATTCAAAGCCTGAAAAGGAAATTATATGTTATTCCATCAATAAATGACATAAGTTTGTTTATATCTTCATTATTTTATGAGTTACTAAACTTCAAAATGGGTCCGAGACTTTGTAAACACCCTGTATATAACGCATGTTATATGCTGTATGCAAATAACTTATAGTCAAATAAACTGGTTATATAGCTTTCGCAGAGCATTTTTGTCCAGCTGATTTTTTATAGCAGAATAATGTAAAACATTCTGCTTTGTATAATACTACAATAGCACTAATACAGTACAAAGTCTTTAATCCGGACTCGTCGGGAATTCGGCGATTCCGGATTAGCTCTTTTTCCGGATTATAGATCATCAATTTAAATCTGGTAAGATGGCACGCAGAAATTATAAAATTCCAAATATGAAATCATGACTTATGAATGAAGTATTTATGATCTAAAGGGTATCAAATTTACAAAAAAAAAAGGTTAATATTTGTTTACTTTATTAAACATTTCTTTCAATGTAAGTTGTTGTTGCTTCGTTTTATATGCTAATACTTCCTCTTTAATTCTATAAATAGACATAATTTCTTGTTCAGTTACAAAGTTCTGCTGTTCAAGTCCTGTAATTACTGTGCCGAGAATACCGACTAACTTGTCAATCGAAATTTTTTCGTTTTCTGACACTTTCTTAACCTCTCTGTCACTTTCTTCATGCCTTTATCCATTTTTTGCAGCAAATCTACTTTTTGTTTGATGGACATCGAAACATGCTTTCGCTTTGTAGATCCTTTGGCAGTTCCAGAATCGGAAACTTTTTTTGACATAATTGAAAGTTCAAGCTTACTTTTTATAAAATTGCTCTAACAGTCTGCAAAAAATAATAAGCTGGATCCAGTTAGAAGATTAAAGAACAACACAATCTGCAACATTAACAGAAATAGATAATTTTAGCCTAGCTTATACCGTCCGTTATACATTAAACGCGTATGCATAAAGGTATTATGCGCAAGCGTAAACGCTATGCATGCACAGAAAGTTTGTAGATTTGAGGTCCGGATTATGGATGTTCGGCATTAAAGACTTTGTGGTGTATAAGATTGAAGTAAATATATTAATTAATTGCAATAAATTGCCTAATACTTGCACAAAAGCTGCAAAGTGATAAAGTAATTATTTATTTACTAATTTATTATTTAGTGTATTATCTCCTTTGAGAAAGGAAGTAGAATATTAGTTGAATGAAATAACTTATAAGTATTTAAAAATGAATATTGAAAATTTTGTTAAAATGAAACATGAAATATGAATCATGAAAAATTGAAAATAGAAACTTTTAAAAAATGAAAAAGTAATCAATTAACCAAGTAATTATTGTTATTGATTGAAAATTGGTTTACTTTTTAAGGGGAACAAATCAACGTCCAATTAATTAACAATAATTAATAAATGCAAAGGTATTTCATCTTTTACTCAAGTAAGAATTATTATGCCAAACTGGTATGAGGTGAGTTAAGTCAAGTAGGTAAATTTTAAGTGAGATGAATTTAAGTTAATGTACTATATAAAAAGCATACAACGATGCATATTCAAGAGGTCCAGTTTCAAGTCCCGGCGAGGGCATTGCACAGTTTTCACGTGTGCTGTTCAAAAAAGCCTAATGACCTTTATGAGGTATTTTCTCCCTTCTTTTTGCATGCCTTCATGGTGTAATTGGAAGCATATTCAATGCGTATTCAAGAATTCCATGGTTCAAGTCCCACCGAGGGTAATGCTTATTTTTCATAATCTCCCGTGTTTTTAAAAAAAAACTAATGACAATTTAAAATTGTAGTAGTTTTTAAGATATAACTGAAGACAACTTGAGCAAAGAAATTAATAAAATTTAATGAAAAGAAATTGAACACTTCTGTTTATTTGTAGACTTACTGAAAGGCTGCAGAAAATTATTAATGAAGCAAACCAGTATGTTTTCAAAATAGTTACGTAGCAACCAACAATGTCGCCAAAATCGGGTATGTGCAAAACACATATCTGTTTTGGATAGTGTGCAATGCCAGAGTTGTCCAGATCCTGATTTCTCTGATTTTTTTTTTTTTAAAGCAATAGAAAATTGATGTATATATGGGGGAAAACGAAAAAATGGGAAAAGATTACGGGTTTCCAAAAAATATATGTTTAACCCATTCACAACGGGCATCTCTTACTGAAGCGTTGTCTTGGGGCGGCGCGTTAACCGAATGCATCGTCTCGTGGGGACGGGCAATTCGCGATGCTAAGCGTAACGTTGAGAAAAAATTCTTATAAATTTTTCATCTAATTTTGTGTACATTATGAGAAGAATATTCAGGTAATTGTAAGAATTAATTTTAAAGCTTTATTATTATATTTTCCTTAAAAATTTTATAAAATACTCATTGTAGAATACTATAATTTTCCTCTTATCCCACAAATAAATATATATGGAAAAATATCCAAACAATCGCAGATTTTATTTAACGCAGCACAAATTTAAAATTAAGAAAATATTAAAACTGTTTTTCAAAAAATTCAACGAGCAAACAACGAAAAGTAAGCAATATTTCAAAATGAGATAGTGTATGATATTCTTTGAAACATGGGTGTACGCAAAGTCCAACACTGCATATGTCGCAAGAATATAATATCTGCTGCTATTTTACTCAGCAAATTTGACTCATTTAGTATTTGTATGTGTCCTACAGTCAGATAGTGCTTTCGTTTTGCCATTAAAAAAAAAGACCTTTCGCTAAGCGATACAAAATATTTGTCTCAATGCCGGAAAACTCAAAGAGTAATAAAAGAGTCTCTAATGAAAGAACATCTACTCCACTATAACGGATAAAAAAAATAGATACTATTCGGTTTTGAGGTCTGTAAAAAATCGCCAAACTATTGTTGATGCCAATGCTGCCAAAAATAATTGCGGCAAGAAAGGAAGTGTAATAGTAAATAACTATTTAAGATTGATGTTTTAATTTAAATGAAAGGTTAATTTCATATAATACTTTTTTATTATAATTTATATGAGAAAGGCTAAACATGACTGAATGAAGCATAAGAATAAATAACTATTTCAGATCATTATTATAATTTATATAAAAATTGATAAACATAACTGGAATGGATGCCTGCATCGCTCTTTCGCTACCGTCTTATCGCTAAAGCATAATTTCATCTTGTTGGTTGTTCAAACGTAATTTTCTATAATGAATGAGGCCTTTTCTTTGAAAATATTCTCGGTAAAGTGCAGAATGGCTCACTTATTTGTTTGCCGCTTTTTACAAGGGTAAAAACAATTGGATTTTTGTCAATTTTCTTTTACTTTTTAAGTGAAAATAGGTCGATGTGTACATAGATAAAGTCGAGGGTGTACGCAGTGCCAATTTTGTGCAATTTTAGGGGTTTTTTTTAAGTGAAAATGGGTCGATGTGCACATGGATACCGAGTATGTGCAATTCTTAAAAACGTGTCAAGCAGTGGGCGATTCTGCACTTTACCCAAAATTCTATTGCCGAGTTTTCGTCATGGGCAATTCCCAAATTGTTAATCCATAGGATATCAAAAAAGGATTTAAAAATTAAACTAGTATTTCATTGGTGTCTTAAGAAATATAGAACTATATAAACTAACGCAATCTGAAATCAGCGCGCACGCTAGATTTGGCGCGCTGTTAAATGGGTGCGTTTTCTAGATTTTGCGCGTACATTTTCGCTATAATTTTTTTATGGCGCTCGAAAACGAATAGTACCAAAAAATAAAATAAAAATAAGAAAAATTAATAAATTAAATTAAAAGTATTCTAGAGCATGAGAACATGTTCATTTGTTTACATAAAATGACCCAGTAAGAGCCATTACATTACTCAACATTAACGAATTAGCATTTGTGTATATTCTATGTTTAGATACTGCTTTCGTTTGCCATTTTAAAAAAATACGTTTCGCTGACAGTAAAAAATATTCATCTCAAAGCCCGAAAAATCTAAGAGTAAAAAAAAAAAAAAAAAAAAAAAAAAAAAAAAAAAAGGATGAAGAATTTAAAAATAATTAAAAAAAAGGGGAAAATCTAAGAGTAATGAAAAAAATTTCTAATGATAGAACGTCTACCCCACTATATTGCAAAAATAAAAATAAAAAGAACCTGAATGCAGGGAGAACACGTGCATTTGTTTATATCAAGTGACACAGTTAAAGAGACATTACATTGCTCAACACCATAGGAATGAAGGTAAACAACTTTCAATATATTTTACCATAACAGACATACAGCTACATCTAGCGGCAATAAGAAATACTAATTAAATGTTCTATCTAAAAAGTCAAATATGGTATGCCCGGCCATAGAGTGAACTAAATGGCGATTCAAATATGACACACTCAGCCATGAGATAACGTTTGCTGCTGATGCATGTATGACACGCCCGTACTGAACGGATTAAGTTAATTTTATTTTATTACCCATGCTTCTTGCTTTCCAAACTTTATTCATTGATTGCTTCTTTATGGAATTCTTAGAAATAGCTGTTTTGAAAAAGCCATTATGAAAATAGCTGTTGCCTTTTACATATTAGTTTGGCAAAAATTGGTCACCAAGAAGTTAACAAATGCTCTCCAAAGTTGGTAAGAGTTCGTACTTGCTGTGGATGATGAGTGTGGGTAATCGAAAAGTACTGAAATTTTATAATTTTAGTATAACTTTAATTCAATTTTAGATTCTCCACTATTTTAACGAGGAAGCACTGTGACTCTTTTGAAAAATGAAAATTTTTCTCATCCATTTAGGATATTTTTTTCTGTGAAGTATGTATTTTTCCCCTAACATTTGATCTTGTTACTTCAAAAAAATAATCTCAAGTTTTTGGGAAGAGAACTTGCTATAGTGCAATATAGTAAGATTTAAGAAATTGTAAAGGAAGTTCTTTCTAAGACATACTCAATTTGTACTGAGGAGAGAAAGATTTGCTGATTAGAGACTTGCATTAAATTAAATCAGGAAATGTAGAAACATTTTATTTAAGCTCAAAATAAGTTTCGTAATAATTTTCTGTTCAAAGAAATCATGCTTCCCTTTCTAAAATTATTCTTATTGGTAAAAAAAAAGTACATGCTTTTAGAAGCAGTTATTAAGATAAGAAATGGTACTTTCAGATTATTCTCCTTCCCTGAAAAGCATTCGTGAGGCAATGTGCTATGTTACCAAAATAAGCAACCCACGATTTCAGTAAAATATATTTAGGTGTCAATCCAGGTGTATGCATGCCAGTTTCCACTGAAGTTAATATTTTTATTTTCAAATTTAGTGGTCATTTCCCTCCACCAATTGAGTGCATTTCCCCCCTTTTGTAAGGAATTTTAATGGGATTGTGCAGTCTACTGACTGATGGAAAAGAAAGTGTCGCATTTCTTCACAAAATATGGCATTTTACCTTACAGTAGAGTATGCAAAATTTTGTATTCCATGAAGCTGTACTTTATAATTGGTTGAATTTTATGGATCAAAATTTGTGCATCATTTTCAAATTTATGCAATTCTCTGTTTTTTTTTTTAAGTGAAAACGAATTGTTGCATACGTCAGAAAACAACAGCATGCGCAATGCCAAGTTTGTTTCACTGGTGTTGTGTAAGCAAGTAAAACTGACAGTGTTTAGTTAAAACAAATTGCTGCGTATGTGGGGAAAGCAGTGGTTAAAAAAAAAGGGCAAGTGTTTTGTTATGGATGTTCCGTACATTTTTAATTTCGTTAACTGGTTGCTGTTTTATGTAATTCTTAGTGTATCTTCATTTTTGAAAATGGCTGCAGTGTTTTGTTATCTTAGGTTTGTGAAAAATTAGTTGCAGACTTTTTGGAAGGGGGGCAGGTAATTGGAAAGTATCGAAGAAATTTATAAAACATTTTAAAAAATTATGTTTTTAGATTATTTCTGTCTTTAATAGAATTACTATTTTCTCCCCTCCCCCAGAATAATGAACAACAACAACCATCTCAGCAAGCAGCACAACAACCACAGCCTGCCCAGCATTCCTTTTGGTCTATCCTCAAGGGTATTATATTAAGAGCTGTCATAATTTACTTCATTACCAGCTTTTTCCGACGAGCTCAGCAAGCGACTAACACTCAAAATACGGGAGTGCCTCAGAAAGTATCTCAAAATCTATTCCAGAATGGAACTGTTATGGTAACTAATTTTATGATTTTTGAATTGTATTTTATATAGCTGAAAAAAAAGAACACTAATGAATAAATAATACGTAATAAACACTAATGAATAAGTAATAACTATAATAAATACAAAAGTGATAAAGCCGCTTTATCCCTTTCAGACTCAAAACTTTATCAAGAGGTTTCACTACCATGAATCTGACACCAATGCCATTACTTTATCTGGCATACTGGATATATTTCTGTTCATCTCAAATTAGCAGAGGTATCAATATTAACTACTTTTAAAATTATTTATATCTATGAAAACTAAAGATGCCACCTCTACATATTCAGCCTGCCAAAGCAAAAGTAAATACAAAGAAATCAACATCCAAATATAAAATAAATGTATCAAAATGCCTTTATAATATATCAAATTTCAGAATACTATTTATCTTCAAATAGGTGGCATTCCTATGTGGATGAATTATTCTGCACAAATATGTAACTTTTACTTATTTGCAGAAGAGTGCATGTTTCTTTGTTCCCTTTTAATTAAAGACATACAAAAGTTTTCTTTCCCCTACACATATACTGATGATATCGCCACTTTTAACAATTTTATACTCACTTAATCTGGCAATGTCTTAAAATTGATAAGACCAACTCAGATCAAATGATTGTTGATTATCTAGATCTTAGCATTTATAATCACCATGAGGTAAGACTTTTTGACAAGAGAAGGTATTTCAACGTTCCTTCAGTTAAGCTTATTAATTAGAACATTAGCAACATTTAAGTTAAAAATATCTGCACAGAAGTTGAGCAACAGCAACAAGAAATTATATTACTCTTTGACTATTAATCAAGTTCTTAATTTTTAAAACACAATTTAAGAAAGTTAGTTTCATCTACGAACTATGAATGTTTTATTACATAATTGAACCTATTACCTATCTGGAAAAATGAGGCAGATGGGTAGGAAAGATTTATAGTATGTAAAACAAATTTGTAAATTTTGTAATTTAGTGTAAATTTATAATATCAGTTTTCTAACATCTGTCTTTTACTTTGACTAAACTGACCATTTTATGCCTCTGAAAAGTCACTTTTGTAGCCAAAAAAAGGCAGGAAGAACTGTCACTATGTTCTAATTTCATTTCATTTTTTATAGCTTTTACCAGAGTTTATTTAATGACTTAATTATGTTTTAATAGTTTATGGTTTTTCTTTTGTGTCTGAAACTTACTTGGCAAGATTAATAATAGCTAATATTTACGTACATCTTTTTGTAAATAGATGCAAATTGTAGTTAAACAATGTTTAATTAATTAAAGATTATATAAATTACCATTTTTTGCCATTGTATTTAGTTTTCATGGTAAAAGTTTCTTTTTTGCCATTTAAGCGTCCCCCTCCAAACTTACTGGAATTTTTTATACATTAATTTTTTTCTTTGGATGTTGATTTCATTTGTATTTATTTTTGTTCTGGCATGCTGAATGTGTAAGGGTGGCATCTTTAATTATCAGAGGTGCAAATAATTTTTTAAATAATTCATTTCGAGACCTCTGTTAACTTGAGACCTCCCACCCTCCCAAAAAAAGCATATCCAGTATACCAAATGAAGTAGTGGTATCAGTGTCAAATTCTAGCACCTCTTGATAAAGTTTGAGTCTTGTCAATGATATAATGGCTTTATCAATGTTGTATGTACTATTATATTTTATTTTTTTTATTTAGATTTAGATTATTAAATATTACTTGTCAAACTCTGCCAAAGGCTATTCACGTTTTACTTGACATACACTAAATTTACATTTTTCGTTTTGATAATTTTTAATATTTCTGGCTAAGTTTTCATATTCATTAAATAGCTTGCTTTGTTATAATTTACATTAATTATTTGATGTGAACCTGAGCAGCAGTTACTCGAGTTTCTATATTTAAAAGTCCTTCTTACCATATTTTTTTTTTTTTTTTAATTTTAAACAAATTTTTATATATCATATACATAATAAAGTTTAAAAGTAAGGTGTGATCCAACTCATCAGCAAGAAGACATGAATTCTTCCAAGTATTGTAATACATGAAAAACAGCAAAGTAAAAATTTAAGATATTAAGACATTGATCTGAATGTAGAAATTAAAAATTAAGAAAGTAAATTTGCAAAGATTAATCTCCCTTGTTTGGAGTTTCATAACAGAACTCATCAATGGAAAAGTGTTTTGAAACTCCATACTGCCAAGACAAATTTCGTTCCGACTAATTCACTGAGACTCGGAAGCGTAGTACTTAAACAATTAGTCAACGAATTAGCAGAATTAAGAGTCTTATTGAATTGTCTCTTTTCCCTATTTGTCTTAGCTTTCTAACACAAAAATATGAATTGTGAAATATTTTTACAAAAACAAGTTATAAAAATGTTTGCTTTAAAAATATGATATACTAATAGAAAAAGCTTGTGAGCACATGAAAAAGTTTTACTATGTAAAAAATGTGAAAAATACAAATTCAATGTATTAGTCTCTATTAAAGTAACTAAAAGAGACACAGTTCTGTATAACAACTTAAAAAAGGGGTGTCTCGAAAAAGACTGAAGAATAACTTTTTAGAAAAATGCAAATTTTAATTGAACATGAGTACAATGTAAGTGAAACTTCAATTAAATAGTTTTCTCTTTTTTCATTATATCATATACATATGTATATATGTAATAAAAACAAACTTAAAAAATTAGCAGAAATTTTGATGATGTAGAAGTGTTGATCCATAAATGAATAGGAAATTCAAGGTGAAGGCAGATTAAATCTTCATTTTTTATTTCAGTTAACATTTTGTGGCCACAAACAAGTTGGCACATTAAATGTGTTTATTCCAAAAAAAAAAACTTACATTTTAGATAAATTTGCAGTAAGAGCAGACAGTCAGTAGTCCAGCTAGGTCAAAGCGTTGAAAGCAAGTACATTATGTTCAGGGTGAAATCTTAATTCAGACTGAGTTAGTTTTGGTTTTCAATGCATTTTGATTGGATAGTTAATATTGCTGTGAAATTACTATTGGCTGTCTGAGTTTTAGTTCCATTGACATCATCAAACTCGAAATGACGCAGTGCAAACAGAGGTTACTATTTTTTAAATTGAGAACGGAAATGTACGTTGCTAATTTAATATTTTACATATTCTTTATTTTTCTTACGCACACATATATATATGTGTGTATATACATATGTATATATATATATACATATGTATATTGTGCAACATACTGTGATAATTTTATGCAACAGGTAACTTTGGAAGGTTTAATTATTAGCATGATTTGTTTGGAAAATTATAGCATATATTTCACTCTTTGTGGGGAAGGATACAGCAGCAAAACTCAATGAATTTATCATTGCAGGATTTATATGTGTATCTAACTGAAGATAAAAGGTTATCATTTAAAGAAGAATCTTTAATATGGTATCAACCAAATATCATATATGGAGATTGGTATGGTGGCCCTAATGGTGATGGAACATACACTTTAGAAACTGAAATCACTGCTACTAAGGTATGTTAATTTGTTTGTTTTAGTTAATAATCAAATGCAAGTGTGCTTAAGTAATAAATTAGAAAGTAGTTTCTAATTGTTGCAAATCTAGTTTACTTATTATTCTAGGTGTTAAGGCAATAAGAATCAGCGTAATATTTGTAAATTTGAGGACTAGTTCCCAAAGGTTTAAACATAAAACCTTCTTCAACTGCAGAAATGGAAATGACGAAAGAAAAACCTCTCCTCAGAGAATAACAATAAGTCAATCTACTGGCACCATCTATTGATGAAAAATGAAAATAGTTATGAATTAATTCCTTAAAAGCTGATTGAAAGATTTTTATGAATGTGAAACACCTCTAGAAAAACTAATTTGCCAATAGAAGATGTTTTTACTTGCTTGTATGAAGTAAAGCCACGAGTTGAGCCTCACAAACTGCCATTTTGTTTACATTAGAAACTCGGTAGAATAGTGAATCAAGTCAGTTTCTGCACATTTAATGTCTTTTTGCCAAATGGGACCAAAAGTAAACTTTTGGTTTTGTGCACCAAAAAAATTTGCCTTCTTGCCCGCTGGCTGAATTGTTTGTTTTTCTATAGAAACTCAATTTTTAATTGTAAAAATTGGTTTTCAACTATATTTGGTGTTTTATGTTTTTCTGTATTTTACAGTTTTTAATGAAGATGTTTTGAGCTTTTACATATTTTTATTTAGCTGCGAAGTGAGAATTCAATTAATTGAATGAGAAATATATCTACAGTACAAAGTCCGTAATCCGGACGTCCATTATCCGGAATGATCTATAATCCGGACCTCAAAGCCACAAACCTTTTTTTGGTGTGCTTTACGCATGCGCGTTTACTGTGTAATGGACGGTATAAGCTAGGCTAAAATTATCTTTACTGATTCTAAGGCATTTCAGTTAATTTTGCAGATTGCTCTGTTCCTTAATCTTCTAATTGGATCCGGCTTATTATTTTTTGCAGATTGTTAGAGCAATCTTATAAAAATTAAGCTTGAACTTTCGATTATGTCAAAAAGAGTTTCCAATTCTGGAGCTGCCAAAGGATCACAAAGCAAAAGCATGTTTCGATGTACCGCTTCCAATAGTGAAGAAAATGACAGAGAGGTTATTGAAAACGAAAAATTTCCATTGACAAGTTAGTCGGTATTCTCGACACAGCAATACAGGACTTGAACAGGGGAACTGAGCATGAAATTACGTCTGTTTGTAGAATTAAAGAGAAAGTATTAGCAAAAAAAAAAAAAAAAAAAAAAAGAAGAAGAAGAAGCAACTTAAACAACTTGCATTGAAAGAAAATTGGCGGTTTTGCAGCTGAGGATGGTGGTTCGGTAAAACCATCGAAACTAGTCCTGTGGAAATTTTGTAAATATAACGCTGATTTTTGTTGTTTGTCTTCTGAATTAGTATTTATTTGGCGTGTTATTGTGTCTTAATTGAAAGAAATGTTTAATAAAGTAAACAAATAAATATTAAGCCTTTTTTCTTTTGTAAATTTTGATATCCTTTAGATCATAATTGCTCTTTATTTCATAAATTACAGTTTTATATTTTTAATTGTATAATTTCTGCATGCCATCTTACCAGATCTAAATTGCTGATCTATAATCCGGAATCGCTGAAGTCCCGACGAGTCCGGATTACGGACTTTGTACTGTATAATAAAATTCAAGGAAATAAGTTAAGATGAAATGCAGAAAAAAATGTGTATAATTTAATAGGCCGTACAAGGAAGTCATCTGGTGTCCACATCAGGCACCAAATGTTTTATTTACATTTGAAACTTGGTAGAATAGTAAATTAAGTCAGTTTTTGCAGCTCCAATGCCTTTTTGCTGAATGAGACCAAAAGTAAACTTTTAGTTTTGTGTCCTGAAAAATATGCTTTCTTGCCTGCTGGCTGCATTGTTTGTTTTTCTATAAAAACTCCTCGTATATATATATATAAACTGTATTTGGTGTTTTATGTTTTTCAGTATTTTACATTTTTTAATGAACATATTTTGAGCTTTTATGTATTTTTGTTTTTTGGCAAAGTGAGAACTGAATTAATTGAATGATAAATACATCTCTAATAAAATTCAAGGAATTAAGTTTAAATGAAATGCAGAAAAAAATGTGTATTATTTAATGGGCCATACAAGGAAGTCATCTGGTGTCTACACAAGATGTTTTTAAATAAGTTTAGCTGCTGAAAAAATGGGAAATTTGATTTACTGACTAACAGTGTTGGGCAACAGAGGATATATATGTTTTTTTTTACCCCAATGTATGCCTCGTGCATTTTTAGCACAAAATTTTAACAAACTAAGAAAGCCTTAAAATTTCTTACTAAGGACCATAAGCCAATTGTTAGGTAAAAAGACACATATGTATCCTCTGTTGGTCAGAAAATCAGGCATTCAAATTATTAGAAGTTTAGATTTTTTACAGTTATTTCACGTACATAAAAATCTTTCAGTTCTGCTTGACAATCCCATTTTCAATCCTTCTTGCAATTCTTTCAATCAACTATTACACTGATTCTTGCTCCCTTAATAGCTCCAACAATCATTGTTTGGTTTGTTAACTCAAATTTAGTTTAATTACTGAGATAATTTTGAAGAGTAAAAGGAAAAAGTTAGAATTGTAATCCATTTTAGCTTATGTTGTATTTATTGAAATGTTTAATTTATTTTTAGAATATGCAGAGGAATTGCAGCATATGGTTACATACCTGTATTACAAAGCATGGAAGATCTCCTAATCCTCGTGATAAGAAGAAGTATTCCCGTAGAGATGCGGTATGCAAGAGCAAAAGTATGTGTTTCATTCCCTCCTCCCCCCTTTTTTGATATCTTGATTCTAACAGCTATATTTTTAAGCACTATAATTGTAATATTCTAAATTTTTAACCTTAGTCTAGATTTTAAATTATTCAGGTATGTTTATGTCTATTTCTGGTTGGCAGTGTAAGTGTAGTAGAATTTCACTTATCAGAATTATTTGTTCTTCATTTCAGCCAAATAAAATTTGCCATATTTTTTAACTTTATTTGCTTGTTTAAATTTTTCTTTAATTATAGAACATAAAAATAATAAACTAAATGTTTTTAAGGAAGCTGTGTGTTATTTTTACATTGAAAAAAAATTATTAGTTGATTATGAAAATATTGCATTGTATTTTGAGTGAATTTAAATGGTGTAAAATTCATTTTGTAAAGCTATTAAAATATGAAGAACTGTTTTATCAAATGAGTTTCATACCACATATTACAGTAAAACTTAATCATTCTGTATGAAAATATGTTCGACAATACATTAGCTGGCTGTTCCTGAGTTGTGGGGTCCTTGAAATAGAAGCTATTGTTTAGTGGCTTCTCCCTAAAATAATGCTCAAAAGAAGACGTGATCCTGTGAACAAACACTTTAATTGCATCCTAAAATATGTCAGCATCTTGATTAAAAAGAAGGAAGAATTGTTTTAAATTGTTCACAGTTGCTTTTAGAAAATTATGGCAAGTATATTTTCATTTGAACTTTTATATGAAATCAGATGTTGGAACACATGTTATAGGGGGAACAAATTATTTGTAGAGTTAATCCACATTTAATAATTATAATTTGGGTTCTTCAATTCATCCCCTACATTTTAAACTTTTATTTTATCTTATTAAATTTCTGGAGAGAAAATGGCATTAGAATTTTGTGTTTATAAATTAATTTATGTAATGCATACTTTTTAATCTATTTGTTATTAGGCTAGAAGAAGTACTACAATATTTGTAGGAAGAAGTCCATTTTGTGCATTTTAAAACTTCATTTTTATTTTGTTTACAGGAATGAATAAATACAAAAAACTCCGTTATCAACGAACTCATAATTTATTAACTGGAGAGACATCTGCAAGTCCAGAAGCTGTAAAAGTAATGTGTTTCTGATAATCTTGTGTTTAAAAATATATTCATTCAGCATCATATGAAATCCTGAAATTGCATATGAAAATGATTCTATATGTATTATAAAGGTTTATTAATTTAGGCCTAAAAATTAATTAAATTATACTCTTAGCTTATGTCAGCTGATATTACTTGAGGAAATGATTTTTTATGTAATATAAAGGTCTTTTAACTTAACTACTTATATATACAGCACAAATTTAACAATGATGATGGTAACAATGATTTAACAATTAATGATGGTGAATAAATTTGTGTTTCTTTTAAAGACTATTTTTATCAATGGACCAGTTTCGCTGCTCCATTTTAAAATTATTTTATTAAGAAAAACATCATATACAAATATTTACAGTGAAGCAAAATACAATTTAATTTTGAGCTTCGGTTTACAGTAATTGCTCGCGTCAGACTGGTTAGATTTTTTTTAAACTCTGCTTGCCTCAATCGTAGGAGGCGATTCGTTGGTGTAAAAATGCGCCGACATCCTGCCGACCTTGCCATGTTCGCATGCAAGAACTTGACATAAGTCTAGTTATAAAATACTAATATTAAAGTTTCAATTATTCATGTAAACAAATATGAAATATGTATAGAAAACTAAAAATAAGTAAACAAAAACATCGAAACTTGTAAACAAGGATACAAAATTATTGACAATAAAATTTTTAATGCATAATTAATAGTAATTGAGTAACATAATACACAATACTAAATTTCAGTATGCAATACTGTTTTATTAATTTTCCTTTTAAAAGTCCTGTGTTTTGGTATGAACTTTCACAACACGGATTTTTCTATCAGAACCGTGGTACAATGATGTTATTCGCTCTAAAATCCAATTATTAATTGGCAGAAAATCTTCTTTAATCAAACCCATTTGACCAATCTTTAGGTCATTTTTTTCAACCAACCATTTTGATCTAGCTTGTAAAGTATTCAAGAAATGACCTGGCATCAGAACTTCAAAACTTTCTGAATCACTAGCAAGAGGAGTAAGTGGTCGCGAATAATTTTAATATTCCTTCTATTTAAATGACAAGCGTTTCGAATTCTTCGTAAGTGAAATGAAAATTGCCAGTCGTACATTTAAGATGGTACTTCACCGATTTTATCTCAGCTTTCCAAGTGAAGCAATTAATTTGTCCTAATTAATTAATTAATTTTAATTAATTAATTTTTGCTTCAAAGTCCAAGTGAAGCAATTAATTTGAACAATAAATCATCATTTATTTGATAAATATTTTTTTTTTTTTCAAAACCTTAAAAAATAAATCAGCACTTATAAGGGCCATGTACCTGTGAGACTTCATGAAATGATTTATCAGCTAAATTTAAAAATTGTGGAATTTCTATTTTGAAATATCTAGCGTACTACATGGAGTTATAGTCTTGTTATCTTATTTACTATTAAGGATTCAACTGGTGCATTGAAATTGCAGTCTTCATGTGAAATAAATGTATTCATTTTCCATTTAATATTTTGAATTGATCCATTAAGACCTGTAACAGGCATTTTAATTTTCTCCCTTTTTATTCCTAAGCATCATCACTTATTTTATCTGTAAGAAGGCTGATATTAGCTGCGCTGTCTAAAATAGCATGAATTTTTATTCTTAGATTATTGGCATCACAGACATAAATCTCTGCAGTAGAGAAGAGGACATTTTTTTTGTTTACTCTTGTTACTTAAAACACTCAACGATTTCTGAGTCACCTTTTCTCGAGCTTACTCTTGTTTTGCCTATGCGGTAACGATGTTGGTAACAATGATTTAACATTAATTAATGATTTAACAAGCCACAAGGAGTCTTGGAATGACCTTCATTATCCATACTTATTAATTTGTGTTTTAAAGTGCATTTAAATTTTGAGAGCCACTGTCTTTTCATACAATTTTGCTCTAGACATAATTCACAGAGCTATTGTGAATGAATTAATGTTAATATTTCATAAACACTTAATTTTAAGAATATATCGCAAAGGAAAATATGATGCAAGCTTTTTCAAACAACACAGTTTTTATTTTTCAAAAGAATTTTTGATTTATGGGAAGGAGTAGAATTCCTGTTTATATTAATCTTGCTTCCAGGTGTAATATTTCTATTCATAGATAAAAATAATGCTCTCTAAAACTAAACTCCTCAAATGTTGGAACAACTTTCGATTTCTGTGATAATTTGAAATTTTTTCAAATTCTTTATCTAGTTTTTGAAGAAGAATATTTATTAGAAAAACATTACGTAGCTTCTGTCCATATTAATACTTTCAAAGCACATAAATTCTTTTGTATACAATCAATAATACTTCTAATATCTTTAGAAGCTTTCGGATTGAATCTTTTCAAAATTTAAAATATTCTGTACTTGAATGTCAACAATTGGCATTCATCATTATAGCAAGATTCCAAAGCATTGTACTAAGATTCAAAATTGTCAAAATTACTTGCTAAATGCTTAGCATCATTAGTAAGGCAAAATCTCAGATAATAAAATTTCTGGGAATGACTTAGCTGAACATTACTTGTAATTAAGTCATCAAATTGAGTTTTAAATGAACTAAATTCTTCATATTTTCCTGAAAATTCAGGCAAAACTAATGGTGGAAATTTTAGTTTTGATTTGAAAATTTTCATTAAAATTACTTTCAGTAAACATTTATTATTTTTGTAGAATTTAACTTATTGTAAGAATTAATGAGAATTTCAATTTTTACCTCCAGTTTTTCCAGACAATCATCACACTGATATAATTCATCGCCAGTTTTTGCAAGATCATCATCCTTGATGTACCAAGCACTTCATAGCTCATCAACTTTCTTTTGATGAGTTTAAATATATTTTAGTTTAAGCTCACGTCATTACTTGCATTTTCCACAAAGGTTTCAAATCTAGTCTAGTCTCCTTTAGAGATGCTTTGCTTTTCATTAGTATATCCATATCTGTGAAGTAAGTTCGGAGCACGATGGGAGCCAAATGAATAAATTTATGTTCTATGTTCCTTAAAGATCGATGGACCATCTTCACTGCTTCTTTTTAATAAATTATTTTATTAAGAAAAACATTATATACAAATATTTGCAGTAAAGCAAAATACAATTTAATTGTGAGCTTCGGTATACAGTAATTACTCACGCCAGACCGGTTAAATTTCTTTTCTAACTCTGCTTGCCTTAGTCATAGGAGGCGAGATTTGTTGGCATAAAATGCGCCAACAAATGATATTTCTAAGGAGAGGAAAATCTATTATGTTGAATGAATTGATAGTTTTAGTATTTACTCATAACTGGAATTTTGATCTAGCTATTTTTGCTACTAGACAGATTTGTTATTCAGTCACTAAATGGTAACTAGCTGTAAATAACCACAAAGATTTAAGTAGTAAATTTAAATAATTTAAAATAGTAATAAAATAATTAATTTAAAATGCTTGGCTGAAGGATCACATTATGCAATCTTTCTTAACAGCATTCAACAAAATGAATATGCAAGGAACAACTTTATGAATGTATTTAAAACTGTATAATGTTATTTCAAACTCAGAAAGTATCAGTTATTATGTTCTTATTTCCTCAATTTGAAAAAACTTTGCTCAGTTATTAACAGTCATTACTTCAAGAGCTTTTAGAATAAATTTTTGTGAATCCTTCTTTCTAGAGCCTTTGTAACTTAGGCTGCTTTCAGATGGAGGCATAAAGGGCATAAGTGGCTAAAGCCGAGCTCCATTGCCAAGCCAAACAGTCTGTGATACGTCACAAAATCTGGTTTAGAGCTAATGGCTTAAGGTTCTAAGTTTTCAGCTTTATGCCAAGTTTGGAATAAGTGTTGACCAATCAGAGCGAAGCTAAAATGAAGCAGCTTTCTGCAGACGATTTCGGTGTCACATCGAAGCCGACTTTTTTTTATATGGAGCACATTGTATCCGAATGAGTTGTAATCGTATCCAAATGAAATAATGAGTTGATCTTGCAACAAATCTACAATGATGACATGCATTTTTTAATGAGTTTGCACAATAAATTGAGAAATATGGATGAAACTTGTAAAGCGAAAGTTAAGCTCAGGATCATGCACGCTGTGTATGATCCTGTAGATGATTGATCCCATCCATTATTTTTCATTTTATTATGAAACTTCTTTGAAAAATGCATGCTTGCAAAATTTTATTTTTTCTGTGTAAATTATGATTATTACTTTCTTTCTGTTTATTATTTTTGTATAAATTATTACTATCATTTTCTTCCTGTTTAATTATTTTTGTATTTAAGAACAAAGTTATTGAAAAAGTTGGAAATATTGTATTGCTCTTTGCTTCAAATGCTGATTTTTCTTTCCAAACAACTTATGAATTATTTACTAAAACATTAATCAATACTATAATTACATGAATTAATTTTCAAAACATCAAATCACGCGAATTAATTTTACTAATACTAATAATTACTTCATGAATTAATTTTACTAAAACATCAAGATTCTGTGTGTGTGTGTTTTTTTTTTCACAGTAAAAATATTACTTTTAAAAAAAAGAAAAAAATTGTTTTCATTTATTTACGAATAGTCACAATAGTCAATTCAATGGTGTCATCTTTGTATAAGTAATAAAAAATAATCCTTTGAGAAAATGCTCTTATGAAGTCCAAGAAGCAAAAAATGCAGTGAAATATCCTTAAAACAGCAGTCTAGACAGTTTCGTCTCTTGATAATGTTCTGTTCTGTTTTTTAATTACATTCTCCGTGAAAGGAATTTACTTTTAATGAAACTGAATAGCACACATAATTCATAATGAATAGTATTTATTATTATTATCCACTCTTTATTAATATAATTTGAATGGAATTTTGATCATTAAATTCATGCTATTTCTCTGGTAGAAATTCCTGGATTAGGTATGAATGTTTATAATTTTGTTGTATTTGAAAACTTGGGTACCTAAAATTTGTCATTGTGAAATTACTTTTGAGATATTGGTCGTAAACAAAAATGACAGCATATGTTGAAATTAAACTCTTCTTGGTGCTTTAATATGCATGTCTGTCAGTGAGTGAAGAATTGTCATAATCTGTCAGCAAATGAAAATCATTAAAAGTACTTACTTCTGACAACAGACAAGGATGAAACTTACATCTATGACATCTCAAAGCAGAGCAGAGTTTAATTTGAATTACTCATGTGATATAAATATACCAGTTTGCAGAATTATCCACAAAAATTCATGAAAGTTATTGTTTACTTTCTACTGTATTCTGTCGAATGTAACCCCCCCCTTTTTTCAGAAAAAGCATATGAAATTCAGGGGTACGGCTTATACATGCAAATGATTAGAAATAGATGCATACAAACAGCTGGCAACACAGCAAAATGTATTTAATGATTGAGCATAAAATACATTGTTGGGTGAACGTTTCATAGTATTGTACAAGTTTAGTTGTGGTTGCTGATTATGGTGACCAGTTGTGGGATACTAGTACTAGTGGTAATTGATACTGGTAGTGCAGCCAGCTACTGTAGCAAACGACAGTAACAGTGAGTAAGAAGTGCTAAAGCACAGAAACATGTTCCTTTTGATTGATAATTAAAAAAAAAAAAAAAAAAAAAATTGTATGGAAAAGTACTTTTTTCCGCTTAACTGCTTTTACACTTGAAAAATGGAAAAATATTATATATAGGCTGTCATTTATTGCCAAGATTTTTTTTAATTAGGCGTATTTAGAATATCATATTTCTCCTAAGAGAAATTACGTATAAAAATTGAAGAAGGTTTTATATATATGTTACCATGAAAGACCGAAATTGGAGAATGTCGGCTTTCACCGAAGAATATCAACATTCACCAAATACATCGGTGAAAGATCGAATATTTCACTACATTCTTGTATATGCTGACCCTCACCGGTGTATGTTGACAATCACAGATATGCTCTTTTAAAAGTCGAAAAGAGAGGTCATAAAGTGCCATAATAGTTTAAGTTGTTGCAATAAATAAGATTTGAATCACATAATTTAGTAAGTTTTTTATTACTTTTATTTTCTCATTTAGGACATACTGTATAATTAAGTAAGTTTTTAACTGCTATTATTCTCCTTTCTCATTTTGAATGTATTGTGTGTTTTAGGTTCTCATGTTAAGTTCTTATTTCAAGTCTCATGTGCGTTTATTCGCGACTGAATTACGGAGAAGAAAATATAATATTGTTATATGTTCAACATTCACCATTAGTACATGGTGAATGTTGACATTGACCGGTGTAAGTCAGAAATAAGATTATTTGGAAAATATTTCGGACATACACCAAGAGACTGTGTGAATGTTGACATTCTCCAGATTCACCGTAACATATATAAATATGCATGCACATGTTTATAGTATAGAGAATGCTACAGTGCAATGCAAAAATATTCCATACTGCTTTGCACAGAAATATGTGCCAACCAAGTATTGGTCTTTCCAAAAAAATATCGCTAGACCATTTCGTTCTTTTCTTACCTTCTTTTGTTGTCTCTTGGCTAATAAGAAGGGCAGACAAAAGAGCATTCTATTGAGCTAGTAAAACTTTGTAGTAAACTGAAAAAGCCAGGACACAAAATAGCGAAAACAAGCTGAGTAAACGTGGGAAATAAATCGAGCTGGAAAACAACACACGAAAGGTATAGACACATGCAGGCATGTGCAAATTTAGCTTCTCTCGGCCACAGCTTAGACCGCCGTCTCGCAGGTGTGAACAGAACTCCTGTATTTTACGACCTTATGACTGTGCCTCTATGCCCTTTATGCTGCCATCTGAATGCAGCCTTAGAGGTAAATTTGGTACTAACCATTTTGTAAAATCTTGCAGTAGGCAACTTCAATATATAGTACATTACAAATTTTATTCACACAAATGCTATGCATATTATTCATTTTATTTTCATCGCTTAAAAGTACTTAACTCTTTCAAGACTAGCGGGATAAAGGCAGATTTCATTTTTAATCTTGAAAGGGTTAAAGGATAAATAAAAACTTTCCTTCCTACTTAGGGTTTTCTCAGTATATATTTGTAAGCATTCTTTTGCTAAAAATTGAAATTAGCATAAAAACATAAAATTTAGAATATCTAATTAAATATTCATATATTTTGCAATCAGAAACTTATTATTAATAATTCAGTAACTTAGATCATGCATTATAAAGTGAATTTTTAGTACATTTGGATTTCCTTTAAAATGGTTTCTCTGTGCAGCATGTGGAAACCTACCGGATTTTTAGATTTCAATGTTGGCAAGTATGCATTTCAGCATTTTGACGAATTGATAATTCAGTTGTTAAATTATAATTATGGTTTCGATCTAGATCTATTTATTTCTGCTACAGAACACTTTATTCTGTACTAATCTGTAAGTAGCTATAAAAAATCAGTGATTTTTATTAATCTCTCTTAATGTTCTGCATGTGTACAATACATTTTTAGTCCATAATGTTACTGTTTTTTCATTTCATTATTAAGAATAAAGTTTTTTAAATTTCAATTTTTATTTGCTCTATTTTAATGAATATGTATTTTTAGTAAACTGCTTTCCATGGGTATTTTTCAGGGCATTTTGTTTCATAGCATAAAATATTGTTTATAAATAACTAAGATATTGAATCATTATTTATGTAGAAAGCAGAGGAATCTCCACTGGAAATAATATCTCATTGGCATCCAAATATGACAATTAACATTATTGATGATCATACTGCATGGGTTCAAGGCCATGTTCCTCCTCCTCTTGATGAATGTAAGTTTACATTTAGTTCACCCACTTAAAAATTGAATTAGTTTTTATAAATTTTATATTGTCTTTAAAGTAACATAAACTGCATATATGTATTCTTAATTTTTATAGTTAATACTTCTTTTCCTTTTTATATCATGATTTGCAGGGATAAAAATTTATCTGTTTTTGTCTTTATGAAAGCTGATATTGTATTCTTGTATAAGATAAGCCCTCCCAAAAAATGTCTGACTAAAAATTAGGTAATGACTTAACATGTGCAATGAAGAATTATATGAAAGTATTAAATTGTATGTTGTCTGGAAAAAAAAAAAAAAAAAATGGATGAAAGAAATGTTAGATCATAGCGTTATCATGGAAAAAAAAAAGATACACAAACATTTTGTGTAGGTCTAAATGATAGAATTTGAAATGGAATATGAATCTGTGCATGAATTTTTTTTTCTTGTAATTTTGTTCTGTATATATGCAGATGAACTTGATCCTTGATAAAGACTACAAATTAAATTTTAGCAATATTTTTTTTTTTTTTTTAACAAGTAAAAAGTTTACCTGCATATTTTCCCTTTGTTTTTATTAATTTTACATTTGAAAAATGGAGGAGGTGAGCCGCAGAGTATACCATTTCTGAAAAGAGGGGCTAACAGCTTTAAAACAGTATGAATATATGTATTAATAATTACCGTAAAGTCTCACAAACTCGATTTGTTGTGTGCTGAGGTGTAACTCGAAATGTTAGGTAACTCTGTAACCAGAGAATTACCTAACATTTTGAGTTTTACAGGAAAAGGGCAGGCTATTCACAACGCAATATTTTACTGTAGTAAAAGTTCTAGAACAATACAGGACATAGAAAATACAACATACACTAAAATAATCATTAAAATGTTAAAAAAAAAAAAAAAAAATCTTAAGTGCAAAAATAAAAAAATCACTATTAGTTCTTCATTGAAAAAGAAATGCTGTGGTTAGACTGTCATCAATTACTCATGAAGACTAAGTATGAGAGATAGTTATCACATAGGTGATGGAAAAACAAAATGCTTGCAACAGATGTACCTTGCCCTTTAAGGAGCAGAGCATTCCTTTTAATCCTTCACTGCGAATATCTCTTTAACTTTTCATTATCTTGTGAATTGTTTTAATTTTTATTCTTGTTCTGTTATCACTAATGTAACTATTTCACCATGTCCTAAAAGTTACATTTTTCTTCCTTCCTCGTCCATTCTTCAGCATCATCATCAGTAACTTCTATGCAGATTAGAATTTTCTTCAGTGTTTCATGATACTTGTACACAGCCACCTTGCTTGGGGCTTTTCAAGGTGATTGTTTACTAAAGTAAAAAAGTTAGTACAGTCAAAAGTCTTTAATCTGGACTTTTCTGGACTTCGGCGAATCCGGATTATCGATTTTTCCGGATTATAGATAATCAGTTTAAATCTGGTAAGATGGTAAGAACAATTATGATCTAAATGGTATCAAAATTTACAAAAAAAAGCTTAATATTTATTTGTTTACTTTATTAAATATATCTTTCAACGCGCGCATGTGTACAGCATACATTACGCATAGTCGAAATTAGAAAATTGCAACCAGAAAACTATTTGATGCGTATTCGTGATATTTATAATGAATTTGATTTAAATCATATCAAAGACAGAGCACATCGAGATGAAATACTAGTAATGAATTATAAGCCGAATAAAATAAAAACATTTGCCCTGAAGATACGGATAGTGCTGACAGATCAACTTTCAGTTCATTGCGCGCCGCGACATTCTCCTTCCCCGCAGAGCAGCATGAAATTGATAAACAGATTTTGGAATGGTTAGAGAAACAAAGAATATGCCTTTATCCATTTTTTGCAGCAATTCCTATTTTTGTTTGATGGACATCGAAACATTTGCTTTCGCTTTGTAGATCCTTTGGTAGCTCCAGAATCGGAAATTCTTTTTTTGACATAATCGAAAGTTCAAGCTTACTTTTATAAAATTTGCTCTAACGGTCTTGCAAAAAATAATAAGCCGGATCCCAGTTAGGAAGATTAAGGAACAATGCAATCTGCAACATTAACTGAAATATATAATTAGATAATTTTAGCTTAGCTTATACCATCCATTATACATTAAATGCGCATGCATAAACGTATTATGCGCATGCGTACACGCATATGCGCATGCATAAAGGTATTACGCGCATGCATCATCTCATTAATGCGTTGACGCATGCACGGAAAGTTTGTAGCTTTGATGTCCGGATTATGGGCGTCCGGATTAACGACTTTTGACTGTATTACAAAACAGTATTTAATGAATACATACCTATGTATTGCATGCTTATTTTATGTTTTAATTAGGTATTTACTTAAAGAAGTCAATAAACGTACTTGTGGCTCTTTGTTTCTTTTGTTGTGGTCAAAATTTCATGGTGGTAGCTTTAAGAATAAATTCAAAGAATTTGAATATATGTGAAAAGGATGATGTTTGTTAAAGTAAAAAAAAACTTTATGTGCATAATTTCTAGAGTTTGACAGTTTCTCAAAATCTGGTAACTTTTATTGAGGTAGTTGTATTTTTGCATACATACCATCTACTAATTCATAATTTTCTGTCTCCTCTGCTTTGTTCAACTCATTTTCTAAATGGTACAGTAAATTGAATGAGGCTTGTACACTCAATTTCACTCCAAGGTATAGATAATCATCCACACTACATCAAAAATGTCTACTTTCAATAATTTATCAAGCTTGTCACACTCTTTATCCACGAGAAAAGCAAGAGATGAAAGAAGTTCACCTCTGTCTCTCTCCTTAGAGCTTCCAAAATGCTGTGGTCCTGTTGGCTGATAAAGTCACATTAGGTGGGAAAAAATAAACTTTATTAGGTGGGAATATCTTAGTCTCATAACCTCCCACATCTGGATGGAATGAAATAGTGTTGAAAATGAGAAGTGTTTTTTCATGTAGATATTTTGGTTTCATGATTTCTCTACCCAGGGAGCAAACTCTTGATAAAACCAGTTCTTTTTGGTTTAATGATTTCTCTACCCAGGGAGCAAACTCCTGATAAAACCAGTTCTTAAAATTGCTTCCATTCATTAGTGTATCAACTGCATTGGTGCACATTTTAACATTTTTAAATGCCCAGAGATTTTCCAAGTGCTAGTTTTAGTTTAAGCTTATGGCTGCCTATTGCATTGCAGTATACTAAGATTGTAACTCTTAGTATACTGTCGATCCAACCACTAGGAACTTTTCCATGCTTTCCTAGAAATTTCTCATAGAATTTGAGAATTTCCTCTGGCAAAATAGGTTTTTTTCTTGTATTCGATATCTTTCATTCTTTTCTATAAATTGTCTGCACATTCTCTTTTCACACCCGAAAAGTCTATTTCAGATTCTTTTTTTGCCTTAATCTAGTACTTTGTCCAGCATTTAAATCCATGGCAATTTTGCTACTTTCTCATTTGGTAGACTCTGTAAACCTCCAGCCGGCTAAAGGTTTTTTTTTTTTTTTTTTTTTTTTTTTTTTTTTTAAGAAACCCAAAATCTTCCTGATTTTAATGTCAAAATCCATCTGATATTATATACCTGGATTTAACATATTTCCTTAATTTCTTTGATAGGATTCAAGGTGCAGTTACAAATATACTTTCTTAAAGACATTACAAAAAATATTCTATGCCGTTTAAATATAATCTGGCTTATCAGAGGGTTAAGGCATCTAATTTGCCATCTTAATGTATACTCATTTCCTTTCTGACATTTTCATTTGCAAAAGCAACACAATGTAACACTTGCAAGCTTGAATGTAAACTGAGAAACTGTACCTAAAATGAACTGAAAGTTTTAAGTTACAGTAGTGTCCAACCATATTCAAGCAAAACAGTTCACAGAATTTAAATCATAAAACTAGATCTTAATAAGCCATATAATGTCCTAAAGATTGTATTGTTAGTGTCTTAAAATCTGCAATTTTAATTATGCAAAAATAATATCTGTTTTCCAAAATAAAAGTTTAAAACTTTGGACTCCATTTGAAATTGGATTATGAATCATTGTCATCCACAGCTCAGAACAAAGAATAATTAAATTAAGCATTTTGGTATTTACCATTGTTTTCAGTTACCAAATTAGTATTTTTGTATGTTAACAGTTTATATAAATTTTTTGAATAAACATACTAGAAAAGCAAAAAAATTAAGCAAAAAGTTGGAACCTATTTTGTAATTCCAAGCAGTAAGAATTTTTACAGTAAGATATGTAGAGCAAATCATTTAAATACTTTCATCAGTTTACATCTCAAATATAAATAGTATAGTGAATATAAAAAATCTGATTTGTACACCACATGATTTCCATTGTACAGAATATTAAATTATATGCATTTTTTCTTGCATTTCATTTAAACTTATTGGATTGAATTAAATCTACTTCGCCAACAGCGCATAAACCACAATAGAATAAATGCATTCTTTAAAATTCACTCTAGTATTTGTTTATTAGATTACTCTGGCGCTAGATTCACTTAACATAATTATATTTCGTTCATATTATAACTCATAATGCACAAAATTTATATTATTTAAAGAACAGAATTATCTAATCGTTGCCGCATGTTCTATTCAAATACTATAATAAAGCTAGAAAGATGTATAAAAGAAATTAAGGAAATAAAACAAAAAAGAAACAGTTTTTCACACACGATTAAGTATTTCTCATTCAATTAATTCAGTTCTCACTTTGCGAGAAGGCAAAAATACATAAAAACTCAAAATATCTACATTAAAAATTACGCAAAATTATTCGAGGAAATAAGTGTTTAAGATTTTCGAGGAATCTTACACTTATTTCCTCGAAAAAATTCCAGAACGGATTAAGCATGATTTAATTGGCAATAATAAATGAAGGCATTATCTTTGTTGTTGAGAAGCTAAGTTTCTCTAGATTGGCAACAAATCCACTAGTCTGCTGTTTCAAATGTAAACAATCAATGGCCGCCATTAAAAAAAAAGGCTTACAACTTTAAAATTGTTGATAATTCTAAAAATATTGCATACAGATTTACTAAAGGCATAAAAACCTTAACCGGAAGACAAAAACAACATAATTCAATCATTTTTAAAGCAAAAAATGTACAATTTACAAACATATAAGAGTAAAGAAACAGATGACTGAGCTGGGTAACTGAGCCGAGTGGATATATATATAAATATATTTATATATGTTTGGTGTGGCCGATTGCAACCAAAATACGAGGTGCACATCTACATGTTATAGCAGTCCTTTATACAAAATTTCAACGTTCTGAGGCTACTCGTTTTTGAGTTATGCGAGATACGTACATACGTTTGTACAGACGCTATAAAAAATTCTCTTCAGAATTCATTTTAAAGCAGTTTTATAATTTTTTTTGAGGAAGCGAGTCTCTGTCCTTACGTACAGATATCGCGCAAAAACAACGTTAAATTGCATTCGATAGCAGTCAAAATGGATATTTTTGTTGAAATATGCTGCCTGAAACTTCACGATTACAATACTTCCTTTTTACTTCATACAAAGAAGGAAAAAGAAAGTATGGCTTAAGTAAAAATTGTAAAAAAGTAACACTTTCTGTAACCATAAAGAATGATCAGCTGACTTGCGCCCATGGTACACACATCTAGTTTTTCTAAAATAAGATTAGAGTATGGCTGTTATTAGACACCACATTATTTAAAAGGTAATGCTCTGATTGATGAGAAGAAATCATTTAGTGATTAAAGAAAAGGGATCATCAAGTAATTGGGAGTCAAATTTGCAGGATTCTATATTATAATGCATTGCATATTTTTAAAAGTCAGTTATAGTTATTACTTTCAGTTTACCACTTTATTAATATTATTCTTTCTATCTGCAAAATGTTTTCTATCCATACCTTGCTCATTTTTTTTACCATGAACTGAAAGTTTCTAAATCAAATGTTGAAAATGTAATGGCGATATGCTGGAAAAGGATATATATGTGAGTAAATACAGTGTTTATGACTTTGCTTGTATGTTACCCAGTTCCAGTTACTTAGACATTGCATCATCAGTGAAAATAAAGTGATGGTCATGTAGGAAGGCAGCAATTCTCAAATATGAGTTTGCTTAACTGCCATTCTCGATTAAGTTAAATCTGAAAAGAAACTGTTAAAAGAACTGCATAGTGGTGAAAGCAAAATATTTAAATTTTTATTTAGTTTCATTCTTTTTTTGGGGGGGCACATTATTATAAGTGTGTGTGTACAGATTTCACATTTTTGATTGTTTCTTAAATTTCTTACCTGAAACACTTTTAATATTTTGTATATTTTGTTAAATATTATTTTGAATCATTTGTTTTACATAAATATATATGTATAGCATGTACAAGTATATGTATTTCTGTAGTTGTAGAATTTGACCCAATATCAGGAGATTATTATCCAATATTGTATGCTAATGATTATTGGAATTTGATTAGAGACTACACACCTCTAAATGATTCTGTCAAGTAAGTCCTAATTTTTTAAGTACTGTGGATTTGTCAAACTGTATATTTTTTAAATTTTTATTTTGTAGAATATATTTTAAGAAGGGAATTTAAACTACAGAAATATTTTTACTTTTCATCATCTCTTTTTGTTGATGGATGGGGGGATTAGTTTGCTTTTCCCCATGGTGTTAAATTTTTTTATATATTTTTTATTTTGTAATTTCAATATTATGATCATAATTATTGTTATGAATTTTGTACTTAGAGAGGTATAATTCTAAGTAAAATTGTTGTATTTCTTCTGTAATGCATGCAAGACAATTCTAAGAGAAAGCTATGCCAGAAAAGTAAGAATACAGGGAGCACAGTGTATTTAACATTGAGTAAACGGGTATCTCCGTAATTTGGTGCTATTTTTGTCCACGCTGTCGGGTTAGTTATTTTTTAGCCAAATTTGGCGAGAATACCGCCAAAAGCGGCCCCAAAATTGTAAATATTTGGTCCGGTCCCTCTATCACTGTAATAGGTATTGTAATTGACCACAATGTTCATTGCATGTAGTTCATAACCGTCTTTCGACCCTCGTATTGCTTTCCAGTAATTTCGAGAAGCAGAAAGTACTAGAAATATCTCAGCAGCTGGTTGAAAACTATTTAAAGCTGAAGAGAGAGCATCTGCTCTTAGTCCTTAATTATTGTTGTTGTGAATTGTTAATTCCGCATGAACTGAGATATCTGTGTTAGTTTTCTGTTTCGATGAACTTTGCATTGCATTCTGTTTAACGTTCTTAGTAGTTTGATGTGCAACTACTAATTGTACTCTGTGATACTATGAACGCTTGTACGAGTATTTCTGTGAAAAATTCCAAAACTTTGAAGTGGTTTTTTTTTTTTTTTTTTTTTTTTTTTTTTTTTATAGTCCAAAAAGGGGTAATTTGCCCTGAACGAATATTAATTTCGTTTTGGCATTTTGCATTGAAAACTATAAAAGGTTGTCTCTTTTTTTCAAATTCTTACCACCATGTATTAATGCTCTGTATTATATTTAAAGAAATTAAATAATGAAGAATATGCATAAAGGTATGTATGTTTCTCATATTGTGATAAAACAACGGTACCTAGAGCCATAAAAATTTGAATAATGTAATCTTCCATAGAATATGGGCTTGTGGAAGCCCTAATTTGAATTTGAAATTAGTGTTAGTATCGATTTCAGATTTTGTAACAGTTCAACGAATTTTTGATTAAAAAACTAAACAATTTCAAAGTGAGCAATGGCAACTCTGTACAGGGAAAAAAAAAAATTATCTCCAGTGCACGAAACTGTGTATTGGAAATTCTGAAGATATGCTCATTTTTAAATTAATTTGCGATATTGCTTTTGAATTGAATTTTATAGTTTGAGTACATAGAACATGATATTTAATAAATAAAGGTAACACACAAAAATTTTTTAAAAATGCCCCTTTGGACGTAATTTAAAATCTTTAACTTTTCAGGTTTTTTTAACTAATTATTTTATTTATTTATGATAAAATTTTATTAACTTATCATTGGACCTGTGTGTATTTAGGCTATTATGAACCCATCCGCACGCAGCAATATTCATGTAAAGTGTCCAAAAGATTACATGTTAAACTTTCGCTGTTATCTTTTACCGCAATACTTTTACCATTCTGGTTATATGTCTGTTTTCTGCAGTTTTATTGTTCTGTTCTGGCATTTGTGAGATAGAGAGTTCAAATCCCCGTGAGGGCATCTCTGATTTTTCATGCTTCTTATTACAAAATAAACCTAATAGCTGTGTTAAACTCATTTATTATAAAAGTATAGGTAGTATGTATAAGGATGAGTATACAAATTTATATTGTTCTATGCAGTTTATATGTGTGGTAAAAGAAATTTTAGGCAGTGTTGGAAATTGCGAATATTTGCAATAAACATTTACTTTTTATATAATAAATTAATAATTTTAAAAAGAAGAAGAAAGAAACTTAGCAGCTGTATTTTGTATTTTTTTAGTAATTAGTGGATCAAATGGTTTTTTGATCCATATTTACACATCCAGTAAGATCGCTATTCTGAGATGTAGAACTGAATGTTGATAACAGTTATTGATACTGTACTGTGCTGAGAATAAAGGAAGGGCAGAGATTTCTTACCATTGTTATGAATTTTGTATTTAGATAGCTGATTTTAATAGAATTATAATTAAAATTGTTGTATTTCCCCATGCAGTGCAGCACGAGATAAATTTTAAGAGAAAGCTCTGCCTTAAAAGTGAGAATATGGGGACACATACATTTAACATTGAATAACTGGATATCTCAGTAATTTGTATTGAAATTGAATAAATGTAATTGACCATTATATTAGCTGTAACCGTAATTGCATCCTCTTATTGCTTATTAGTAATTTCGAGAAACAAAGTACTAGAAATATCTCATGGTTGGTTGAAAGCTGTAAAAGGTCGGAGGGTAAAATATATTTACGGGTACCCGATGGTAAAAATTGGCAATTTTTGGTGGCACATTTTTTACATACCAAGTTTGTGCAATTCTTTGTCTTGTATAGCAGCGATTTTTGACACAAATCGCCGCTACACAAAGCCAAAATAACAAGACAAAGAATTGCACAAACTCGGTCGGTATCCATGTACACATCGACCTATTTTCACTTTTAAAAAAAATCATAGAATTGCACAAACTAGGCATTGTGCACTCCCTTGACTTTGTCCATGTACACATCGAATTATATTCACTTAAAAAGTGAAAGGGGCAGCCAACAAAAAAATATATAATCTCAATAAACTTAACATTTTAAATCAAACAATGAAATAACATAAAAAGGAAAATTCATCTTTGCACTACACAAAGGAAATATCCACTTACCTTATTTACGAATTAACATGTCTTCAGTCAAACAGCAAAATTCCTTAACAGCATCCAAAAACTTTCTAAAATTATCTGAACTAGAATCTGTATACTGGCGTTGCCACATAAATTCACAAAATAAGAGTAAAAAAATGTCCGACATTCGACCATATGCATTTCCTTCCTACACACAGGATGCTTAATAATGGCTACTAAGTAAACCTTTATTTACACACCAGTCAAGTAATGCTCTTTTCTCCTTTCGTTCCAAATGATGCAGAAACTTCAAATTAATCTTGCCACATTCAGCCATTTTACCATCTAAACCACAAAACAAGCAATTTACTTCCTACCCAACACACACCACAAGCCCTTGAAATTTACTGCAATCATGCTTACATCATAATAGGGTTTCCATAACATTCAACTACTCAGAGTGCCATAAATGAAACAACAACTTCATGAAAATACAAGGAGTAACCCTTCTATCTACTCTAACCGGCCGGAGAGAGGGCGTCTGAGTTCAGTTGCTTAGTTACTGTTGTTACAAGTTGTTATTTCCATGTGAATTATGTATTTTGTGTGTGAATTTGCATTGTTTGTATAAAGTTGAAAATAAAATTAAAACAGTATTATTTTTTTATTGTTCCCATAGAGCATTGCCTATCCATTTAACATTCCAACCTCTCTCACTTTTCCGTTGGCAATTGTACACAGCTCAAGCAATGCGATCTCGTTGGACTTCTTTCTTGGGTCAAGATCTCATGGAAGAAAGTGATGAAGATCAAGATTACATGAAAGAAGCTTTGCTGGAAACTTCTCCAATTCTTTTGGGATTAACTTTTGTTGTTTCTATTGTTCATAGCATCTTTGAATTTCTAGCATTTAAAAATGGTAAGAGATGTTGTATAAATTGTTTTGACTTTTAATTGTTAATTAAAGGAATGTGCTTAGTAATTAAAAATTAAACATTGCTTTTCTGAAATTTTTTACTATTTTTATTGTAATAATTGAGTAATAGTACTTTTGTATTTCAACAACTGATTTTTTAAAATATTAATAATGAAACGATACAAAACTCAGTTAACCATTGTATAGTTAATTTGACTATTTAAAAAAGTTTTTAAGGCTAATGAGCCATAAAGCTATTTATTTAATGTCATATATCATCTATTTATTTAATGCTCATATGCCATTTATTTAATATCTCTGTTGATATTATTTTTTTAGTCTGGTATGCATTTTCCAAATATAATCTTTGGAGAATCAACTATCAGTACTTTCTGTTTTAAAATAAGAGAGTAAATTTAAGGTTTAATGCTATTTCTCAAAATAGGCTTAGCCTTTTTTTATTGAAATTAAATCTAAATTAAGATGGAATCATGAGAGAGAATAAGTTTTTAGATCATTATACTTTGTTATAATATGTTCTTTCTGCACCTGTCTTTCTGTTTATGAATACAGTTCCCAATCTAACTAGATATTTTGTTAAAAATTCTCTATTAAGTAGAAGATACTTTTTTGTTTATATTGAGTTGTACATTTTCTTTTTTCAGATATACAGTTTTGGAATAACAGAAAATCTTTAGAAGGCCTTTCTGTGCGTTCTGTGTTTTTCAATGTGTTTCAGTCAATTGTTGTACTGTTGTATGTATTAGACAATGATACTAATATGGTTGTTAGAATTTCTGTATTTGTTGGACTCCTGATTGAAATTTGGAAGATACACAAAGTGACAAATGTTGAAATCAACCGAGACTCTAAAATATTTGGTATAATTCCAAAGGTAAAACTAACAGATAAAGGATCATATGTTCAATCATCAACAAAAGAATATGATGTGGTAAGTTTTGCATCAAACTGCCTTCTCCCCTTTTGAGTATAGTGCACAAAATAATGTTTAAAAAGTTTTATTCTCCTTATGTTTGTTATCTGATATTAAATTATCTTATTAAACTTTAAAATGTTTAAATTTTCCCGTTTTACTACACGATATATTTCTAGGTACAGCAATATAAGTACAGTTATGTTCAAAGAAACTGTTATGTCTAATTTATTTATTGGGGATAATATTTACTGAATAATGGTTCTTTTATTAATATTTTTAATAGCAAATTAGACATCTTAGCATAGTTGTGATAGTATTGGTCATCAAAGACTAACTAAAGTTTGTTTTTCAAGTATTTGTGTATGCTGATTTCAAGTATGCACTTTAATTTTTGTTGTCACAGCCATTTTTTAGTGACATCAATTGACAATACAGGAACGTTTCCTAAAAGTTGTAGAAATATTAAAGCTTAAATTGCAAGTAATGCTTTTATTTCTGTTTGTATGTACTTTTCATATTTTACTTCCATTTAACTCTTAACTTCAAACCTAGTTTGAATTTACAGTTACTTGAATTTACAGTTCCAACCTAGTTGTAATTATTAAATAATGGGAATGAATTCTCATGAATGAATAATGGGAATAATTAGCTGATTGCTACCAGTGTTAAAAAAATGTATGGAAATTTGAAAATCCTTTTATAAGAAGTCCAAATACAAACCCAAATGGTTGTGATGTTATAAAAATATTAATTATGTTCTGCGTTGTTACTATGAGCTATGCAAAATACTGCTATTCCGTGTGTAAATGGGAAAATCATAACAGTTGTAAGTTGTAGACGAAACAAGAATCAGACAAACATTTGTGGGTTCTGAAAAACTTCCCTTGCTATATGTTAAGTTAGGACTTGTGATGAACCTTCCCTTGCTATGCATTCAGCTAGAACGTATAATGAAACTTTCTTTGCTATATGTTGAGCAAGAACTTAGAGGAACTCTGTTGAAATATGGATACAAAGTGTAGTATTGACATGCTTAAGAAGTACATTTTCTGGCATCAGTGACTGTAAATTCAGAGACTGTGTATTAGTGGAACCAAACATTAGAAAATTATTTCTGTATTAGAAATTTCACCAGCAGTTCCATTAGCTGGTAAGGTTACATGAAAATGTGAAGAATGTTTGTAGAAGTTTCCTGTGAAAGAATTGGTGTTTGTTTGAAATATAAATAAGTTCTATTTTATGCATTTAAGTTTTTGCTTTCACGCATAGTTTTGAGTTACATCGTCTGATAGTAGAGTTGATAAACGTGTTATCAAAATATTAATAATAATGGATAAAAGAAGTATCAGCTAAAAAATTAATTTCAAAGTTGTACAAATCTTAGACTGCAACATATGATTAAAACATCACTTTTCACATTCCATCTGAGACTTTCTCTGCTTTTCATCTTGCAGCATTAAAGTGTGAAGGGTATTTTTACTAGGAAATTTGCTATGTTGAGAAATGATGTCCAGGCGTTTGGAGTCCCATTATACACTGGTCTTCAAAATTAAAGGGTAATGACAGAAATAAAATGTAACTGATATTCAATGGAAAAATTATTGGAAAATGATAAAAAATTAAGTCACCTCTTGTGGAAATTTTTTTTCTTTAATATACTGTATGGTAACATCGGACAGATATCCATACCTCAGGTCTTGATTTCATAGACTTTAACAATGTATTTATCAAGTCTTGTGGAATTTTGCACGTCACTTTTCTAAAAATGCACTTTTTAGCTCCTGGAGAGTCCAGGGAGGAATCTGGCTCTCTAAAATTTGGCACCCTAAAGCATCTTCACATGCTCAATCTGGTTCAAGTCAGATGAATAAGGTGGCCAATCCATTCGAGTAATATTGTCAGTTTGCAAATATTCTGATGCCACATATGCTCAATGAGGCTGAGGACTGTCATTCATTAACAAAAACTCTGGGCCAACAGCACCCCCTAAACAGTATAATTTGGGGTTCAAATACCTCATTCCCATATATCTGAGAGTTATAGAACGTTCTTGAAAGATATGCAGCTTGGTGTGGCCATTTGTCATTATTCCTCCCCAAACTATTAATCGCAGTCATGGAAATGAGATATTTCAGATTACAGTGGAAGGCAAGTTATGTGTTCTTTCCTCTCTCTAGATCAAAACTCATCTAAAATCACTGTTCAAAATGTATCTGGCTTCGTCAGTAATTAATACCCAAGCTCATTCGTCTTGGCTCCGTTGAACATGATGACGGCACCTGTTTAAATTGGCCTGTCTCTAAGCTGGAGTGAGTGGGGCACAAACCATTGGATTTCTTGCATACAGTCGCACCTCGTTAAACCTTTGCGCCGATTTGAGTTCTTGTGGCAGCATGAAGGTCTAAAACCAAATCTCTTTTAGTCGATTTGTGGTTTCTTCGAGCAGACAACAACAAAAAGCAGTCTTCTGATGCAGTTGTTGCTCTTGGTCACCCTTGACCAGGCTGTCTGTCAACTGATCCAGTGTTCATAAAGCAGCTGCAAACTCTTGATATGACATTTTGAGGGATATTCAAATCTTAGGCGACTGCTATTTGTGTTTGACTTCTGGTTCTATGAATTATTAACCACTTTTGATCTTCACTTAAATGATGTCTTTGAGCCAAGCCATAATTATTGAATATTGATCCCTCTCGGACAGCACATTCACTTTAAACAACACTACAAACCAGAATTCCAACATGCATATATTGCACACTACGTTGTCAGTCGCTAAATTTGCATATTTCTGGTACTAATGTATGCACTGAAGTGAAATTTAATTAGCATAAATAATTATAACATTGTGCACCGGTTGCAACATTAAGTTAATGAGCATATTTAATTATAGCATTGCGCACTAGTTGCAATATCAAGTTAGTGAGCATATTTTTTCTCATTATGCGTTGATTCTGATGACCAATGTATATGCTGGTTTCTACAGGCTTTGAAGAAAGACATTCCTGATACCAAGTGTACCAGAAAGTTGTGTTAAGATGATTAATTTCTTACTTCCTTGATTCATCATAAATTTATGAAATTTAACAAATAAAAAATATGAATTTTTTTTCTTGTAAACCAGGCAAATTATGGACCTAGGCTTTCTGAACAAGCATAACCTTTTTTTATGGGAAATAAAATGCTTGAGACTGTTTATCATTACTTATTCGCTAACAAGTTTATAAATAATATGCTTGCATAATGCTTCACTCTGTTTTCTTGAGATTCACGAATCAAAAAATAAGAGTTGGTGATTTTTATATGAATTCTAAAATTTAGGATAGAATTTCAAAATCAGCTTGTATCAGTGTTCTTGCACTTAATGTTTTCTTCCTGACAAGTATTAATACTTCAAAAAATTTTAAGTATTGAATTTTTTTATATCATTATGCCATGATTAACTAAAGTTTATTTAAAAATAACTCTACACAAGCATATCCTAAAAGCCATGCTTCTCAGATAAGAGGACATTTAAAACAAACCATTTCTGAATTGTGAGATATGCATTTCAGTTTTAGCTGGTTATGTAAAATTCTGGTATAATATTAAAATATTTATTAGCAGATAAAAAAAGTAATGAAATTGTGAAACAAGGAAAATTATGTAACTGCTTATTCAATCTTGTCCTTTTTCCATAACATGTGGGAACCTTTTATTTATTTTTAATTTAATTGTGCAACACAGGAAATATCTTTTAAATATATACAATCAGGACCATTTGACTGATATATATTAAATGCTGGAAAGATGAGATAATTGACTTAATGTGAAGCTAATTCTTTTTGTTCTTCTCTTTTCTTATTCCTGTTTCTCTATAGTTGGCATTCCGTTATTTGTCATGGGCACTGTTCCCTTTATTAGGGTGCTATGCAGTTTACTCACTTCTGTACTTGGAACATAAAGGATGGTATTCCTGGGTCTTGGGCATGCTATATGGTTTCCTATTAACTTTTGGTATGTAACTCTTCTAAAATCCATTCATTTTCTAATTCTCTATTTAACAGACTTTTATATATCTAACACGAAATGGTGATATGAGCCTGTTTAAAATTTTGAGTTACAAGTTTGTTTAAAATTTGAGTAAGTATGTCTGAATTGCAAAAGGTAGTAGGAAATTGTTAATATTAGTTTATTAATTTATTGTTAAATATGCAAGTTCTTAATTTTAAGAAAGCTATTTCATTTTTTAAATGAACTTTGCAAGTTTTAAATGAAAATATGTACCTGTGTCTTCTTCCTTCTTTTTAATTTTTTGTCCATTATTTTATTTTATTTAATGTTCTGCAGGAGAGATTTAAGAAAACTTTTAAATAAAATAAAAGTATGTAAAAAGAGGCGTGAGTACATGTAAAATTATTTATATATTGGGAGGCTAGAATATTTATCAGCAAATTCAAAAGATACTATTCTCTGTACAAGAAATTTAAATAATATCAAATAATGAATAAAATATTTTATTTTAAAATATTAATTGGGAAATGGGTCGAGTTAATCATCATTGCTGTTCACATTGTTCCACCATTAACTGAATTCTGTTGTACTTAAAAAACTTTCTTATGAACTCTAGTGGTACTTGAATTATTTCTATATAATTTTACTCACACCCATAACTCTTTATAGAGCAAACTTGCACAGATATCTCTTTGTGTAATGCAATAATTTTTTTATGAAATATTATTACATGGTATTCTTTATATAAAATTTAATTATTTTGTAATGACATGTAAAAACATAAATAGTGTTCTTAAGGAAGACAAATTATTGAATTTTTAAATGAATAACCACAATTGTAAAATAATTTTTATATCTTAAATTAATTAGAATTAAACTGGACTTATTTCAAACTTTTTAAATTATAATCTTTGGATGATATTATAAGTCATGTCATTTCATGGATACTTTTATCAAAAATTAGTTAGGAAGGTCTCCAAACCTCTCACTTTCTTAAAGAGAAATATGCATACGAGAGATAAAGATATATATATATGTGTGTGTGTGTGTGTGAATCTGCTTGGCTAAAATTAAAGAATTGTGAAAAATGTAACTATTAATATTATATATATAGACTTAATAGCCAGGTCCTTTTTAGTAATAGCCATGTGCCACTATAAAGGCCGGAAGTGGTGGCCATTTCATTATGGAAGCACCTAATGGGTGGCCACCATTGTCTGAAGAGACAGACAGCTACAACCTTGCCTTCTTCATAATTCGAATCTGGGCCCATTGCTATGGCAGTCAGGGTCACTACCCATTATACCAAAAGGGTGGCTTTTCTATATATATATATAGCTTGTTAGAAATTGTAAACAGTAATTAGATTTTATGAGGCATTGCTATTTGGTAGCTTTTCAGATAGCTTTAAAAAAAATGCTGTTTTGAAAATCTAGACAGTTAGTTGCCAAGCTGATAAAGTCATGCAACAAAAAATACAAAATAATGAATGAAGGGATAAAATGTAACAGATGCATATTTGGACTATCAGTACAGTAACTTAAAATGAAAAATTAAATAGAACTGATGGAAATATAATCTTTTAAAAATTAATCCACATGCAAGTCATTCTGGAAATCATTTTATTGTAGAAAGGTGTCTAAAGATTATAGTCAGCATGATACAAATATAATAAAATCCACATAATTATCTGCCCCAAACATTCTTATCTGTGTAGTAGCTTAAAATTATCTTGTTTATTCAGGAGATACAGAAACAAAGACCTAAATAATTTGCTTTTTCTTACTGATAGCAAGCATCATCCTGTGTGAAATGTCATTGAACTGAAGACTCATGCTTTCACTTTGTTTTGATCCTAAGTAATCAAGTTTTATATTCTGAAACAATTTCTTTGTTAAAGCTAGCCTGATCTGTATTCAGTCTCTTGTCAGTTAGTTGCAACTCTTTTATGAAAATGTCTACATCATTCACAAAAAAGCTTTTTGCCAAGTAATTTATTTATGTTCAGATTTTCTCAACCAAGTTTAGGGTGCATAAAATGTCTTCAGGCATCCTGAAAATTTTTAGATTCAAATATCTGGCTTTGTATTAAACTTTTTTTTTTTTTTTTTTCAGTTGTCAGTCATTTTAAAGTGTTTTTCCAAATAATATAAACGCTGCATTTGTCTAAATCTATTTTGAATATATTACAAGCTATGTTTCATTTTCTTTCATGTTGTGCTAGCCCAAAGTTTTCTTTCCATTATATAATGTTTTAGATATAACTGAGGGGTTCTGTTTAAAATCATTATTTTGCAAAACAACTGAGAATTCACTGACAGATATGTTATTTGATTCTTTTATAAAATCTTTTTTTTTTTTTTTTATAAGATTTTATTGAGGATTTCTTATATTTCTTTATCACCAGTAACTTTCCATGGACTTTCATATTCTTTTAAAATTTCAGAAATAATTTTTTTTATTTAATATTCTTGTGCATAAAGTCTCTTAATTTCAAGTGCTTGGGTGTATAATCTTGAAATAGCATCCAGACCCCCAGTGTTTATGTATTTATACCTACAAATAAAGACAAATTTAGAATAAAAAGTTTGTTTCAATGTCTGCTTTATTTTCAGAATTTGGCCATTATTTTGATTACAAATCAAAATAAAATTATTTGCAGCTTTCAAAAATAGAAGTATTATCAAAAAAGTGATAACAATTTGCCTGTAAGAGAATTTATATGAGGAAACATGAACAAAGCATAAAGAATTTCATTATAATTTACTTCAGATAGATAAACTGCAAAGTTTTGCAAGTGCAAGTAATTTCTTTGACTTAAGACTGATGAAAAAAGAGAATTCTTAAATCACAATGAATTCTGAGGGAATATCCACCTTGACTAAAAATTTTTTATGTTTATTTCTGTTTCATTTATATAAGAATTCAGCAATTGATTTTGATGTAATTACTTTCTTTTTGCATGCAAAATCAACGGTTTTTCTCTTGAATTAGTTTAAAGTTCTAATGAATGCTGGTTGCATTTTATTGAAAATCTGAGCAAGCGTTTTCAATAAAATCTTGTAATTGTTAGAAAAAGGCATTGCATAAAAAACTGCAAAATGCTTTTACGTTTTTAAAAGTACATAATGTTAAAAAAAAATTTTTTTTTAACTTTTAAATTACTATAAAGAGAAACTGAATACGAGTCTAACTACGTATGGCGGTGCAGTGATATTTTAGAGATCTTACAGAATTCTACATAATTTGATGAGAAAGTTTTCCATTGGCGATAAGAAACTTCATATATAGTAATTTTTATTATTATGGGATATTAGCAGATAATTCCTTTATTCAAATTACAAATTTTTAGATGAGTAAATCAATATTTTTATTCTGTGAGAAAAACTGCGAGTTCAAGTTTGGGAAACCAAACATACATAGGACTTACGTATATGGGAGACCATGTATGTAAGTAGTAAATATTTAACTATTCCCCCCCCATTTCAAATAACTTAAATGGAATGGGAATGAGAAAAGTGTGTGTTGCAACTTTATGTTTTAAAAAGATATGTTATGAAAATAAGCAGAGCTTGATGCAGCTTTCATGAAGTTTTGTTGTGTCCAAGTACACTAAAGCTTCTCTCAGTTATTTTTTTTTTAGTAGTAGTTACTACTTAGGGTAGAGAGGTTATCTTAAATATTGATGTGTATTGCTTAACTCTGTTGAAAATACTAAAGTATTCAATAAAACTTTCTTTTAAAATTTGTATTGAGATTCCAGCAAAAGTATTTTAGTTCATCTTGATGTATGTGATTAATCCTTTACTTGTTTTAAATGATACAAATTTACTAAAAGTGTCTTTATTTTGATATACACTTCAATCTGTTTTTCTGTTTCTTACAATAGAAGCCCGACTTCCGCATTCTTTCAACTAATCAAAAAGCTTAAATAATGAGAATGTTTTTAAAATTTTAGAAATCTCTTCACAAAAAAATTAAGCAAATGAGGTACTTGTAGAGCACTTTTTTAACTTTGAGTGTTTTGTGACTTAGAATAAACAAAAATGTTGCCAAACAGTAGGATTTGGCACCAATAATGGATAAGCTTGAAATCACAAATCATGGTATCTTCATCTTGGTTTTATGTAAATCCAATTAATTCTAGATTAGCTTGTTTAGTTTTTATGATGAAGAATGCAATTCGAGTGAAAAATGATAAACTGCTGTTTATCATTTTCCACTTGAATTTTGAAAAATCATTAAAATTTTGGACTTGCCCAAATTAGAATTGCATGCAATGAAATGTTAACAAAATTACAGGAACTTGACATCAGGAAAAATATGCTTTAATATGTACGATATGTGATGTAATGTGAAAAATAATGTACAGTTTGAGTTTTTTTCATATACTATAAATTTTTTGTAACTTGGAATTGAACAAAGGGCAATCAATTCTTTCAAACTTCTCTCAAAGTGATTGCTGCCGATTTGGCAGGATCTGTGCCAACTTTCATGGTCAGTGGAAACCTATGAAAATATGTCAGCTTTAGTCTGGAATGCATCTCCTTTCCCCCCAAAAAAAATCATATACAAAGTTAAATGCATGCTTTTGATATTCAATCTAATAACAAATAAGATGACTTTTTGTATAATTTTAGACTAGAAATTTCTTCTTTCAGTTTTTGGATTTTCTAATATGAAAAGCATTTTTTATATGCTCAGCTATCCACAATTATCATGTATCCATCTTTGGGCATTTCCTGAGCTTTCAGGATATTTGAACATTTATTGTATTTAGTCCCACCTGTGGCTGAGTGATTAAGACGATTGATTGCTGATAGTTTGATGCGAGCTCAAACAGACTGGCTTCAAGGTTGGTTTTCATTTTTTTCTCCACGTGTAACATGATTACGAGCCAGTCTGTCTTAAAATGTCTCCTTAAACCATAAATGTATTTTAATGCATGACTTTAAATTATTTCTGAAAATGTCTGATTAAAATCATTGAGTTATATAAAATCTATTATAATTTTGGTTTTATAATTACTTTTTCTGCCTAGGTTTTATAGTAATGTTACTGTTTGTTTAAAATTATTGAGTTATATGAAATCTATTGCATTTTTTTTAATAATTACCTTTTTTTGCCTAGGTTTTATAATGATGACACCTCAGTTATTCATCAATTATAAACTAAAATCAGTTGCTCACTTACCTTGGCGAATGCTATCATATAAGTTCCTGAATACTTTCATAGATGATATATTTGCATTTGTAATCAAAATGCCAACAATGTACAGAATTGGGTGTTTCCGTGATGGTAAGTAAATATGGCATTTACTTTGTAAATTATCAATTGTGAGAATCTAAACACTGCCATTTAGACAGTGCTTGTGTAAACTTAAAATAAAATTAATATATATATATGCTTTCTGAATTACCATTTTGAATTTTAGAAAATTTTAATTTATTTGTATGAAATATGACTGTTTTGTTTATGCAGCCTGCTTATTTCCTAATAAAAAATAGACTTGTTTTAAATACCAACAAAGATAGCCTGCTGGTAACCAAGAAAGTAAGACTGATGAACTCTGGTGTGTGTAAATAAAAGTTGGGAAACAAATACTAATAAGTTAAACTAAAAATTAGGTATTAAGATTGCTTTCATGTTGTATGCAAATAGTTCTTGAATGAAAATCGTCTTTTTAAACTGGTAAACTTAATCCCTCTTTTTGAGAAGGGACCAATAAAAAAATGTAGGACAGTGTAGCTTTATGGTTGTCTTCAAGATACTTCTCTGTAACGTATTCATGCATGTTGTTTTTAATCAGGGGTGGGCAGACTTATCCAGGGTATGGGCTACTTCTAAATTTTTTCAAGGTGTTACGGTCCACCTAGTGACATAGGTGTGGTGAGCTAAAAAAAAAAAAAAAAAAAGTCTACAATATTTATTATAACTTAATAATAAATATGGAATATATGTTTACCTACCTAAAGGACTTACTCTTTTAAAACCATGTTTAAAACAAAATGCAACATGCAAACGTAATAATAATAGCCACAAATATAATAATTTCAAATGATGCATTTTTTATCAAACAGTTTTAAAATACATTAACCCATTAACAAGCCCTTCCCTCCAAACGAAATGCTTTGAAAATGGCCGTGTTGTCAGTTAACAAATTAAAAAAAAAAAAAAAAAATCCGCTTTTGTTTTCTGAAATCTCTCTAAGATGGCCCAGCATAGGGCAGTATGTTCGCTTCCCCTTAGTGTGATGGATAAGCCATAAAATTACCTCCCCACTAATGAATGGCAAGAAGTACTTGTTGCATTAGTTTTGTCTCTCCTCTTTCTTTGTACTTGTAGCTTGTAAACTTGTTTCTTTAATATGTGACGTCTGAATATATATTTAAGATAAGAGTAAAATATTTTTCAGGAATTTTGGGAAAATTTGGCATACATATTTATATTTAGCATTGAATTTTTCCCACAAGTTGATCGTTAACAGTCGAGCTTATCCTCGTAAACGCTTGATCTTAAGCATGGAATTGGCAAACAATAATTTTTCTAATGACAGTTTTCCAGGATTTTAAAGCAATTTCTAGAATTTTGGCAGTTTTCTAAAAATATTTTGGTAAGTTTAGCTATTATACAGTTGCTAGTAATATGGAATTTTAAATAAAAATTTTATTCCTTCATTGATTTGAGAGATCGCATTTCGAATTTAAACTGAAGTTTAAATAAATTTGATGCAATCTTACCACAGACTAAAAAGAATTATTTCTCTGTGTTCGATGGATTTTCTCACTTTTCCGCATTGTATTAGATTAAATACATAAAGCAGAAATGCACAAAAATCCTTTTTGATTCTTACGGTTTCATTTAAATAAATTGTAAATTTTTTTTTTTTTTTTTACTTTCAAAATATTTTTGCTCATATATTCATAAACTTACAATTGTGGGACATCCACTTACAAATTATATGACTACAGTGGTGGCCAAAATTGTGGACACTTTTGGAAATTTTTATGTTTTTGAACTTTGTATGCTTATAGAAAGTGTTACGTTTCGCAAAATGCAAACTTGTATATATCATTTTAAAGAGAATTTATTACCGAATTCAATACAAAACACAAAATTCGATTATTTGCAATACAAAAAAAGTTATATGATAAATAAAAAACACAGTTATGAAGTGGTTTGTAATGTCTGGCTTTCCTGGCCAATCACTGTTCTTGTTCTGATAACCAATCAAATGTTAGTAACTGCCAGTAGAAGCTGACATCATGTTTACACTTGAAACAATTCATTATTTTGCTTTGTTCTTTAGAAGGAGACCTGTTTCTTATACACTGCAATTACAAGTAGGAATTTGGCATACATATTTATATTTAGCATGGAATTTTTAATATTTAGTCAAGAAGCAATGACATCAAATAAAAGAGTAGATTGGACACCTAGAAAGAAATGTAATATTATTGTGTTACGAGAAAGTGGTCTTTTCTATGCTGAAATTGCAAGACAGGTGGGTGGTTCAGTGACTACATCTGGAGTCCGAAAGTTTTGTTTACGATATCAGGAGACAAATTCAATAAAAAGCAAAGAAGGAAAAGGCCGAAAAAGGTGCACCACATCTATTGATTGACACATTAATTGGACAGATGATCAGTGGTCACAAGTTATATGGAGTGGTGAAACTAAGATATCGTTATTCGGTAGTGATGGCAAAAATATGTAAGACGTAGAATAAGAGAAGAGCTACATCCTGACTGCATTCAAGCAAACTGTGAAGAAACCCAGTTAGTGTTATGATTTGGTCATTGCATGTCAGCAGATGGTATTGGTCACCTTCATGTCATCAAGGGACACTGAATGCCAGAAATACATTGACACTATTCTAGAACCAAAACTTCTACCTTTCATCAGAGCTCTCTTTCCCAACAATGCTTCGTTTATTTTTCAGCAGGATTTGCTCCTTGCCACACGGCCAAAATATCGAAAGAGTGGTTTCGTACAAAGAGTATTAAATTGTTGTCATGGCCAGGAAAACAGTCCTGACCTCAATCCTATCGAAAATTTGTGGCACCGTTTGAAAACTCTGTCTGAATGAGGCGTCCATCAATAAAAGGGAACTAATTGAGGCTATAATTGTTTCCTGGCATCATGTAATAACGAAAGAAGAGCTTAAAACTCTTGTCAGCTCAATGAAACGTCGATGTGAAGCTGTAATCAAAATAAAGGGTACCCTACTAAGCACTGATAACTCACTGCAATCATCACTATCTAATGTATATCGATAACTATTATCGTTTAACTTTTTTTGTATTGTAAATAAATGAATTTTGTGTTTTGTATTGAATTCAGTAATAAATTCTCTTTAAAATGATATATACAAGTTTGCATTTTGTGAAACCTAACGTTTTCTATAAGCATACAAAGTTCAAAAACATAAAAATTTCCAAAAGTGTCCACAATTTTGGCCACCACATTGCAGCATTTCAGGTAATAACTGAAATTATAGTACTGAAGTGACATTGAATATAAGAATAATTATAGTCAATTTAAATAAATTTCTATTTTCATTTAAAATTTGTCATTATTTAGTATCCCCGCAGTTTTATGTAATCATAGGATTTCCCAAATTCTATTAGTTCCTTAGCATAATTTCAAGGACTAATAGAAAAATGATAATATGGAAAGACTGTCTTAGGTACCAATAGCCAAGTATTTGTAATTAAATAATGAATTAAAAATAAATATTGAATACCAGCCGCCTTTTTATATATTTTTAGTCATATAAAAAATATAAATAAGAATACTATTAAGAAATTTTTAAATTAATAGTAAGCAAAACATATTGATATATTTAACAGTTTTGGAAAAGAAATAATCATTTTTAAAAACCAAATTTAACTGTAATTTATTTGTTTTAAATACAATATAAATTTATTTCAAGTGCGTTTGCTTGTTTGAGTACAAAATGTTGTTTGAAAGAAATGAAGTGCTAATACTGATGCATAATTATATTAATCATTAGCATAAAAAAATCTTAATTTCGGTTCAAGATTATTTCAGAAATGAAATATAATTTACTTATATATTATACAGAACATTACGTTAATATTTATTTTTTTTTTTTTCTTATGGTATCCCCAGTGGTTAAATCCAATGGTTAAGACCTTTGCATACTGGCAGTTCGACCTAGGTTCGAACTCAAACGGAGGGACGGAATTCCTGCCTGTTTGTTTTTCATAGTTTTCTACATGTATAACACAGTTTCCCACAGAAAGGGATCCACGAAGTGGAACGAGAATATAAGTTAGATCCTCTTAGAAAGTTTCCTTCCTCTTGGTCAGATTAACAATTGCGTGCTTCACCGTAATCCAAATACATTAAACCGTCTGTATTGACAGCTATCATTCTATCTTTGTAAAGAAATATTAAAGTAAAAACATGTAAATATCAAATTTGCTTTAGACTGCAAATATTTTTAAGCAATTAGCATTTTAAGCAGCAAAGCTTTGTAGTGGATTCATGAACAACTGAAAATTACAGCCCAGCTGGTGTAGTGGTTAGTGTCGCTGACTGCCATATCGAAGAGTCCAGCTCAAATCCCGGAGAAGGATGGATGTTTGTAAATGTATGGTGTCCGTGCAGCATGAGGGCACTCTAAATATGTAGTGAGCTGAAAGTCCCCTCAAGAGGTTGGTGGTATGGCAACAACAACTGAAAATTAAGAAAAAAAGAACCTAAAATTGGTATAAAACTCTACTGATTACTAAAGCAATCTAGCAAAACCTTTCCATCGGGCAATAAATTCTACTCATATAAGAAGAGTTGTATTTTTTATAGCATTTATTAAGTTAAATTTATGAGTACATACTCAAAGTTTGTTTTTTCAGAACCTTCAAAATTCATCAGAATGGTGATAAGATCATTAAGCGTGGGAGAGGCAAAAAAAGGTTTTAAATAAAATAGTTGTTGCAAAATGACAGCAAATGTCATAAGCGAGTATAAGTAGTTATATAAGTAATTAAATATATGCAAAAATTCTTCTAATGACCTCTTCCAAACAGAATAATATTTCTGCAAAGAAGTAGCACATATTTAGTTCACTCGTGGTATTTGTGGCTATAAACAGAAGGTCGTCAAAGAACTTAAAACTACTTCCTGATAAGCTATCGAGTTCAAATTTTGTAAGCATATTGATTGCAGATGATAATACAGTATGGTAAAACAAGTTTTATAAAATTCCATTAAATTTTTTTTAAAAATTTTTTTTTAATTTAATGTTGATACGATTTTTGCACATATTTTCA